ATTAAGTGTAGGCCGTCTCATTAGTAGCAAGTAATACACTTTCTGCACATCATTAATAATATGAAAGGTTATAGCAACCCCTAATAATTTGTGATTACCAGAAGTCTGTCTGTGACGTGTATAAATGGTGTTCTTTATAATTGTCCTATTTGAGGTTAATTAAGCTTTCAGAATTGTAGGTTGCTATTTGTGATCAAATTGGAGACATTTTTGGCCTCAATTATTTTTGTTTATCCATTTCCCTCTTCTCTGAGACCTCTTTTGTACCTAGCTTTCCCACAGAACAATGAATTTTTTTCTTTTAAATTTTTTTATTGAATCACCATGAGACACAAGGTTACAGTTTGTTTAGGATTTTCAGTCTTAAAAAGTCCCAGCACCCATTCCTTCACCAGAGTTCACTTCTTTCCACCATTGTTCCCAGTTTCCCTTCTGCTTTCCAGTCTGCCTCTATGAGACTTTTCTTTATTTTAGGCACTGTGATTTGCAATACTGTTGCTGAAAGGATATCATGCATATCATTTTACTTCTTTTCAGTATCCAATAACCATCCAGAATGATCACTCACGCTATGGTCATAGTGGTTCGTTCTCTATCCTCACTGCACTCCCCCCATTGTGGCAAACTTCCTACTAATCTCCCTGACCTTTATTTCTATCATCTTTGGTATCATCCTCCTATTATGCTTCTTTATATACCATAAATGAGTGGAATCAATCTATGTCTGTACTTTACTCTCTGCCTCATTTCACTAAGCAAGATACTCTCGTGGATAAGTATGATTGATATTCATCCATGTATCAGCAAATCTCATGTCTTCATTTTTTCCAACAGCTGTGTTGCTCTTGTGTAGAGATGCCACAGCTTCTTTATCCACTCATGTATTCTTGGGCATTTGGGTTGTTTTTCACATTTTGGCTATTGTGAATAGCAGCACTATTTTTTTTAACTGAATCACCATTAGATAGTTACAAAATTGTTCATGGATGGGTGTCATTCATACAATGCTTCTACACTCAACTCCTCACCAGTATATATTTCCCACCACCAATGTCCCCAGTTTCCTTTTCACCATTCCCCATTCCCCAGCTTGCCTCTATGGCAAACACTCTCTCTCTCTCTCCCTCTCCCCTCCTTCCCTTTTATGCATTGTGGTTTGCAATTCAAGTTCTGAAAGGTTATCCCCTATATCACCCCTTCTTATTTATTCACCATTTGTCAGCATTAATTTTAATTTTCTTATTACTTTGGGGTCACACATAGTGGTAAGGAGTTATTCATGGCTCTGTGCTCATGCACTGTGGGGGGATCTGAGTCAGGGTCACAGTCACTAATGCTGCATGCAAGCAAATGTCCCAGCTTTTACGCTATATTTCCTGCCTCCTGTATCAGTGTTTTCTTATTTAAACTGGTTATTCTTGGAATTGGAAATCCCTTAAAAATTTACATATGTATGATTCTACAATTTTTATATTAGTGTAAATAAATATGAGATTTCTCTTGGTTATGTTTTTCTTTTAAATAACACCTTTAAAGAATTAAGACATTTGGAGGGGTATGACCTATTAAACATCTTGCTGTCAGCACAATATTGTTAGCTTGTGAGGCTAAAAATCAAAACTTTCTAGAAGTCAGATGTCCATACACAAAAAATGGCAACATATGCTCAAGTTTATTGTACAGTCACAAGTTACACACTGGAAACTAAGTGGAACACTGTCCCAGTTTTCATTAACTCAAACCAAGTTAACAAATGACAAATTTTAGAACACACTCATTTTATGTCTCACCCAATGTGGGTGATCACAAGAGAAGCTAAACAAAGAAAATTACTTTCCATGTTACTTAGGCAGCAAATTAATTTGATACACACAACTTCCAAGTTACTTTAAGACAACTCAAAATGTTTCAAACCTAGCAGGGAATAGTTTAAGTCTAATTTTAAATACAGAATGTACCATTTCTGGACAAATATCCATAGTGGAATCATTCTTTCCTGCTAAAACACCAGTAAATCTCCATTCAGATTAGACTCACTAAATTAATAATGACTGCAATTAGCTAGGTTTGGTTACATTGTTATATTGCACTTCAGAACAATGACAACAAAAATCAAAGATTTGGTACCCCTCTCAAGAAGTTCATTATGTATCAGAAATTGCAATAAAATACAAGCATATGTGCATGCTACGCATCCATAGGTTCATAATCAAACTAGCCTATCAACAAGTTAAAAGGGATACTTTCCAAAACACTTAGTATTCATTTATTCAATTCTTGATTCTATGTTGTTTCCAAATTTTATGTTTTTCTTTTCAAACTACCACATAAACAAGTAACCCAAGAATACAAACAATGTGACATGGAGAAAACTATATACCAAGAATGACTTAATTTCTGCAAGTTACACCTTGGTACAAAACTCTACAGTATAGGTATCAATCAATTTACAGATTATTTACCTTATAAAAACCATTTGATTTCTACCCACTTTAGTTCAACCACATAAATCTTTTAGGGTCATGATTCAGTATAAAAAAAGTCTTTCACAGCCCTCCTAAAGTAATCAGTAGAGCCTCTTGGACTAATACTCGAATTTTCTCTGTATATGAAGTATTAATGCGAATCTGCTAAGAAGTTTCATAACACAAGCAGAATTGTGGCACTAAAATTTTGATCACTTGTTTTACAATTCAGAATTAAGTCCTGCATCAAGATTACAAAAATAACCACAAAAGAAAGGTAAAGAAGAGGAAAGTAAGTCCCTTGCACAAATATTTCTGAAATGATGACTAGATGAGAAATAAACAAAGTATCAGTATTTCTTACCAATATCACCTGCTCCTAATATTGTATAGTTAATGCTATTTAGTTTATTCTGGGGGAGTTCAGAGCCACATCTGGTGGTGCTGAGGGTCAGCTCTGTGCTCAGATATGGACACAAAGATCCTTTGGACTATCTCTCTGGCTTGGTCATGTAATTTTAATTTCAATTAATTCATTTATTGGTTTTGGGGCCACATCCGGTGGTGCTCAGGGCTTACTCCTGGCAGGTTCGGGGGACTGTATGGAGTACTAGGGTAGGAATGGTCAGACTGCTGTGCAAGGCTGCTGTACTCTCGCTCCAGCGCCACGTCATGTTATTTTTTAAATGAATCAGACTGTAAGAAATTCACACTCAAGATCTTAATCTCAATTAAGATTAATTCAACTTCAACTGAAATTTTCTCAAGACACCCAGACAGTTAATATTTAATGAACTTGAAAGTTAAAACAACTTTCTCAGGACTATTTTCTGACAACTTGACCAAATATGTTCACATGCTACTACAATAGGGTAAAAGTAATCACATTTTCCCAAATCCTTTCCTCAGATTTGGCTTTTAAGCTATACTTCTACCATGTTTTTGTAAAGATACAAAATTTTATTTTTTAAAAAAAATTCTACTTAAAACTACATTTCAAAAAGACAATTTAAAACTGCTAAGTTTCAAGGATGATGTCCTTTAATCTCCTAGAAAAGATTGTATCTTTAAATTGAAGACATGAAACTAATGGATTATACAGAAGCAACTAACAATTCCCCCAAAGACTGTATTTCTATCTAACATAAAGTTTCAGAAATGACTATTACTAGGTGAAAAAACAGGGAGGTAAAAGTTGTTAAAAATCACCCTAGTGATTATCTGGAAGAAGGCCCTAGAATAAAAATACTTACCTTAAAAAATTTAAAATTTATTAGTAATAAAAATATTTATTACATATGGCTGAGATCTTTCAAGCTATAATAAAGCCAAACTACAAAACTAATAATTTTGAAATCCACTAAAACTAAATATAAGGCCATGTCAATGTTCTGACTTTAAGTCATGTGCATATACGTATTTTATAAATATATTCTTAGTTAACTATATAGGGAACTATAACACAAAGTATGGCAAAACAAATTTCAATTATTTTTCCAATATAGTAGAAAAATTTCAATTACTAAAGGGAATGATTTATCATTGCCTAACTTAGACAGAAAAAAGTTATCAAACTCTAAATTTCTAATGCATAACATGATGTAATTGCACAAAGTAGGTGTAGTGAATAGTCATTAGTCAATAGTTTACAGGCCTTGAGAAAGTGAAATAAAGCACATATTTTTCTCAGAGATTCTTTACTCCACAGGCATATAAAATTATAATTTTTATTTAAAAATTCTAGAAAACTAATTTGTTAATAAACCTATGAAAGTTTTAAAAAGTTTGTAATAACTTGAATTGCTTATAAAAGTACCTTTTAGAAGTTATTTGATAGGTGAGGCTTTTTTAATACATCACCTTGCTTATAGTGAGGTAATATTCATGTAAGTAGCAACAGGCCATTGCTGGAAGTAAATCAGTGGGCTACTTTAAGAATTTTAAATTCTACAATTTCTTGTGGAGTTGAGGATGGGTACAGAATCCTGTAAGTTCTAAAGGTTCTTCATTGCTCTTGCCATGTCTTGTAACAGTTTTGGAAATACAATGGAACATACATATATAAGAGGAAAATAAATTAATTCCAACTAAAAACACCTGCCCTAATCTAAGAATGTACTATTATGAGCAACTTATAAGTTCTTTCAAAGAACTACAGTTTTCTAATAAAATCCACTTTTTTTGTATTGTAAATAGATAATGCAATGAAATAATGTACTTTGGAAATGATTTTCAACATCATGGGGTTTTAAAAATCACTATATTTAGCTGAAATTAACCATTATACATGAATAATTTTTGATTATAGAATTTTTAGTTTAGATTGACTTATTGGTTTGAAATAGAACTTAAACTATGCAATTAAAATAGAATAAAACGGTTTGTGAATTAAATATCAAAAGAATTTAGCAGTACATATCCTGTTTTCGGCAAGCTACCGAGAGTATTCGATATGCCAGACACAGTAACAACAAAGTCTCCAATGGAGACGTTACTGGGCCCGCTCGAGCAAATCGACGATCAACGGGAGGGCCTTTACCTTTTATCCTGTTTTCATATTAGAGTAAAATACTTCACCTTTGCTAACAAAGAAAAGAACTTTCATGGGCTCATGCTTCCCAACCAAATCCCATCACGTAGATAATATTAAAATCCAACTTTGTGCATTTATAATATCTCTCATAGCTTAAAAATTCAACTGTAGTGTAATATGTATTAACATTAAGTACCTATACAAAAGATGTGGATACTTAGGTCCAAACGTGGATCACTTTAAAGCAACAGAAACAACAATAATAACAAACAATTAAATCCAACATACAAAATTAGAAACAGTAATGTAGGAGGTACTATTTTATATAAAGTGGTAACTGAGGCACTACCTCTGTCTTAAGTACACTAAAAAACTATTCCATGAGATTTTATTAAATACCTAAAAACACATGTCAGTGAATGCGTATTAAATACATATCTGAACTTTTTTTTGGAAGAGAAGGCCGAAAAATATTGCTGTCATTTTTGTGGTTAGTACCAATGGGCACCATCAACAGTTCAGTCTTGCATTCCATTTCTCATGAAGGAAACTGAAATCTACAATGAAGTTGGTCATTCTAATAGGTCAGGAAGTTGCCTTAGTTTAAAAGTCACTGTTAAGTTTCTGAATTTCCTTCACCATTTTCATGAGGTTGAAGATGTTCTCTTTCCTGTTCTTCTTGAGGTGGTCGAACACGTTTGAAAAAACCCATCTATCAGTTGAACAAATATATCACAAAGTTAAGACTATTCAAGGTATTCTGAATGACTATTATTATCAAGAAAATTTAAATGGCAGTTACATAGTGTCATAATGTAACATTATGCATCTTCATCAAAGGTTCCTTTCTTCATCCCTGTCTTTTCTCTACCCCATTCTCCTTCTTTGCCTCCCTCCCTTTCTATTCTACTCAATATCCCTCCCTCCCTCTTTTTCTCCCTCCCTCTCTCCCTGCCTCATTCCATTACTTACTCTGTACATCACAAAAACCAAAACAGCCAGTAACAATAATCCTGCTAGAACTGCTAAAATGATCACCCACACAGGTACAGGCATGGGTGCTGGCTGAATGCCCCAGGTGACATTTGTGGTAACCTGTTGGGAAGCAAAAATATTTAAATTTTAAAATAGTTCATTGGGAATAGAATAGAATCTATGTGGATACTTGTGTCTAATGCTGAATACCTAAAATCTATGATATTATAAACCAATGTGTCTTGAGTAAACATCCTCAGAAGTATAAGTGCTATAAATTCACCCCAACAATTTATCAGAAACTATTTAATTTTTTATAGTTTCGAACTTTCTAATTTTTTGAAAAAAAATTTATAGGTTTTCCCCTATGAAATTTATGTATGCTAAGAATCTCTTACATAGGATAAGATGCTAAAGTAAAAATTCTACCTTAAAACCACAGGATAAAAGAGTAAAATAATGCTAAAACATGTGATGACTCTATCAAATGAGTATTATTTTAACTTAAAGTTCTGTTTATTTTGTTTGACACTATACTCGGCAGTGCTCAGGCTTATTCTTGGCTCTATACTCAGTGAGCACTTCCGGTGATGCTCAGATGACCATATGATGCGGCAGAGATCAAACTTTGGGTCAGATGAGTACAAGGCAAGCACCCTACCCACTTTACTATCTCTCTCCAACCTCTCAAATGAGTGTTTTATATAATCAAATGAGTTAAACTGATTTATTTTTGCTTTCTTTTTGTTCAAGGATCAGTCCTGGGAGAGTTTGGGAGACCACGACAGGTGCTGGGGATTTAACCAGGATTGACGGTGTGGAGGGCAAATGCCCTGCCCTCTGTGCTATTTCTCTGCCCTCACTGCTGCTGCTGTTGGGCAGAGAGTATACACATGGTGGTATGGAAACTGGGGTTCCAGCACATGAAGCATGTCCTTCAGCCCTTGAAGCATCTCCTGCCTCAAACTATTTAAATAAAATTACAAAATATTTATGAAGGGGCCAGAGAGATAGTCCTGCACGCAAGGTGCTTGCCTTGAACACAGCTGACCCAGGTTTGATCCCTGGTATCCCATAACATCCCCCAAGCACTGCCAGGAGTACTCCTGAGCGTAGAACGGGGGTAACTCCTGAGCACCACCAGCTGTGGCACAAAAACAAGAACAAACAAAAAAAAATTATGGAATTGAATGATGTGTGTTTATTCCATTTGTCCAAATCAGTGACTTACTAATGTGGAGTTGAAGATATCCTCAATTGGAAGGTTTTTGTAAGGAAATTCTATGACATTAAATGAAGCAGATGACTTCAGAGAAAATGAATGATTCTGGTTTTCTTTCTGTACAGAAATAATAAAATTATTTCATAGATGTCAGGCATCTTAAAAAAATTTCTTTGAAAAAACATCTATCTTTGCTGAATACTGCAAATGACCACTTACATTCATAAAGGTTTCAGTCCAGAGCAGAGACTTCACATACAAGATTGCACTCTTTCCTCTGTCTAGACGCCCCACCTGGCAGACAATCTTCAAGCATTCAGCAATTCCACAACCCTGCCAAGACAAATTGGTTATTTCCAAGAAAAGGTCATTGTATCATACCTTCAACTTTAGAAAATTAAACCTTTTACTTGTTTCATGTGAAGGTTGAAGAGATGACCCATATTTTCTTTTACGTCGATAGAAATCATGTTTAAAATTAAAAGGCTTGGGGCTGGAGAGATAGTGCAGTATATAAGGTGTTTGCCTTGCATGGCCTTGCATGTGGCTGACAGGGGTTTGATTCCTTCCATCTCATATGGCCCCTGGCCAGGAATAATTCCTGAGCACAGAGTCAGGAGTAACCCTTGAGCATTGTTGATGTGTTCCCAAAACAAAAACAAAAGCAAAATAAACAAAAAGGCTTATAGTTGAGTCTCTGAATGTCATTTTATTTCTGAGTTGGTTTTAACATAATTTGTTATGGAAGATTATGATCTATAATAATTTTTTTAAATGACCAGAGCTTAAGAATCTTTGGGTAAGCCCAGACATTGGTGGTTTTAGTAAGAAATGAAAATCCTCACCCCTAATCCTTGGTAACCTGAGTTCTACAGTCCAAATCTGTAGGTTTGTTTTTGTTGAAAACTATCTATCCCCTGTCACTGTCACTGTCACTGTCCTCCTGTTGTTCATCGATTTGCTCGAACGGGCCCAGCAACGTCTCCATTGTGAGACTTGCTGTTACTGTGTTTGGCATATCAAATATGTCACGGATAGCTTTCCAGGCTTTGCCGTGCAGGCAAAATACTCTCAGTAGCTTGCCGGGCTCTCTGAGAGGGGCGAAGGAATCGAACCAGGCTCGGCAGGGCCAGAGGCTTGCAAGGCAAACGCCCTACCACTGTGCTATGTGGAGATATATTATCATAAAGGTTTCAATCTATCCCCATGCTTTGATTTTCTAAATACCACATATGAATAAGATCTTGGTATTTAACATTCTCTTTCTGACTTATTTTGCAGAACATCACCTTAGTCAACTCTATGTTGTAGCAAAAGTAAGATTTCGCCTTTTCTAATTACCATTATTCCATAGTGTGTGTCTATTCCTGTAACATTGGGTACTTTGATACAGTGCTATTTCCATTTCTTGGCTTTTGTAAATAGCACTGTATCAAACACAGGTGTGTGAGTACTATTCAAATTGCTGTCTTTTTTTCCCCCCTGTTCATCTTTGGATATATACCGAGGGGTAGAATTGTGAAATATATGGCAGTTTATTTTTCTTTTTAAAAATATTTGTTATGATTTTCTTTTTTGTTTTACTTTGTTTGGGGGCCACAACCAACAGTCTCAGGGCTGACTACTGGCTCTACAATCAGGGGCAGGCTGCTGGCGGGCTCAGTGGACCATGAGAAATCGGTCAGGCAGGATATGTGCTAGGCAAGTGCCCTACCTGCTGTACTACCACTCCAGTCTTCTCCATGTGAATTTCTGTAGGGGTTGAACCACTTTAGATTTCCACCATCACTATCTGAGGATTGCTTCTTCCCAACACCCCACCAGCACTTGTTTCTCATATAAGCACTGTTTGATACAAGTCACTCAAGAGGATGTAAGAAGATATCTCATTGACATTTTTATTTTTAATTCCTTGATAATAGTGCTTATATATATACACACATATATATATTTAAAAAACATTTTTTCATTTATCTGTTAGCTTTTGTCATTTTAGGGGTAAAATTTTAATTGAGCTCTTTCCACCCCCCAGCCCCTCTCCACATCCAACATGGGGTTATTTGGATTTTCACTGTTGAGCTTAGTTAGTTCTTCATTTATCATGGATATTAGTTCTTGTCAGATGTATGAAGTTATAAATTGTTCTCTAATGATATTTTTCCCTCTGTGAAAACACTGCCAGTGTGAAATAATACCATGTGCTTAATTTTCCTTCTATTTTTCATTCAAAGGAGTCACATCCCTGAAGAACCCACTGAAGATAACATCACAGAGTATTTTGCCTACGCTTTCTTCAATATACTTTATGGCTTCAGCTCAGGTCTAATATACAGTTCTTAACCCAATTTGAGTTAGCATTTGTTCCTGGTGTGAATTAATGATTCAATTTCATTCGTTAGAATGTGGCTATCCAGTATTCCCATCATTATTTGTTAAAGAAACTTGAATCCCCCTGTTTGATGCTCTTGGTTCCTTTGTTGTACATTGTATTTAGAAAGACATATGTACGTATGTATCTATCTATACTTATATAGTTATATATGTATATAGCACATATATACATAACAAAGTCCTGGCAGTTGCTCCCACACAACAAAGTCACCACCATGCCTCACACTAGACTTCACTACTTCAGGACAGAGCTCTACAGAGAAACTAAACTTCAGGTACACAGGTCTTTTTGACTGAAAACTCCAGGACTTCTTGAAGTTGGAATGGGTGACCTTCCCTCCACCTCCCCATACTTCCAGAAGACCCAGAAGCCACTTCCATGTTTTACTGCTGCCGCCATGTAAGCTCATCTACTGATCTTGTTCCAGAGACTCACAAAAAAATTCCATAAGAGATCAATTGGTCACAAAAATTTCTTGGACACTGTTCCTGGCTGAGAATTCCTGGGTAATTCTGGATGGGGTGGGCCACTTTCCACATTAACAAAGCCCCAGCAACCACTCCCACACCCCCCAAAGCTGCTATTATGCCTCTGGCCAGACTGCCCAGTTAAATATTCTGGATTTTCTGGATCATGTGGCCACACTTGTGGTGACGTGACATCTTCAAATACTACAGCATTGACATCCTAGTAGGAGCACAACATATTGAATAGAAATGTAAAGTAAAAGCCATCGAATCTCAACTAACAAAAAGATTAACACAGAAGGCTTAACTTGCAACAATATGTATACACACACACACAAACACACACACACATACAGTTTAGTAAACCTCAAATAATGTTCCCATAGTGAGATACAACACTTTTCACACATTTTCTTCTATGGAAATTTTTTTTTTGATCATTCCATTAGCCATTTAGTGGTAAGAAGCAACATAAAATAAATTGTTGTGGGCTTGCTATGGGGGCAGGCTTGAAGGGTGGTTGGGAAAATGGAGATAATGGTGGAAGAAGGTGATAGTGCTGGTGGGATTGGTGTTGTAATATCAAATGTCTATATAAATCATGAAAACTTTCTAGACCACAGTATTTAAATAAACAGTGTGTGTGTGGGAAGACCTACTTTTATCCCAAGACCACAGTTTTGATTACTATAGTTGACTATAGTTTAATGTCAGGGAATATGATACGTCTATTTTTTACCCTCAGGATTGCTTTGGTTTTAGATGTCTTCTGTGGTACCATTCAAATTTCAGTTATAGGTATTTTATGTACTTTTGTAATATTGAATAGGGATTGCATTGAATTTGTGTTATGCTTTGGGAAGGACGATCATTTTAAAAACATTCTTCTAATCCATGAGCACAGAATATTTTAATGTTTCTTAGTCTGCTACTTAATAGTGACAGCTTTCAAATCTTTCACCTCAATTGTTAATCAACATTCTAAATTCTTCTGATATAATTATGAATGGGATTGTTCTTTTGGTTTCTTTCTCTAATAGGTTGTTTGCACATAGAAATTCAGTAAATATTTTGTATATTGCTTTGTAGCCTGATACTTTGTCATATTTGCCATTCATTATTCTAATAGGTTTTTAGTTGAATCTTTAGTGTTTTCTATGTATATTATTATATCATCTGCAAATGGTGATGATTTTACTTCTATCTGTATCTACCTTCCTTTTTTTTTTTTTTTTTGTTTTGAACCACTTCCAGCAGTGCTTAGGGCTTACTCAAGGCTCCATGATTGGGGGTCACTACTGGTGGTGCTTGAGGCCTATATGCCGTGCCAAAGATAAAACCCAGATTGGTTTGCCTACAACCCAGGTTGCCTTACTTGTTGTACTGACTCTTCATCCCCCGCACCTGCACCCCGTTATATTTCTTTTAATTGTCTAAACGCTTACCTCTACTGTTCTGAATAATGGTAGTAAGAGAATACCCTTGCCTTATGCCTAATCTCAGAAAGAAAGTTTTATTCTCTTACCATTGAGTTTGTTGTTAGTGGTGGGAATGTTGCATGTAGCCGCTACTACATTGGTTTTTTTTCCCTCATTTCATTTTGTTTTGAGTTTTTTTTTTTAATTTTACCATGAATGTGTGTGAATCTTGCCAAAAGTTTTCTCTTTATATATTAATATAATCATATAATTTTTATCTTCTATTGATTGTGTATATTAGTTACCTTTCATATGTTGAATCCCTACAACCCTGGGATAAGTCTGGGTCATGACTATAGAACTTTTATTAATTTTTCAAATTATTTATTTTAGCACCATGGTTCACAATACTTTTACTATCAGGGTTCCTTGCATAAAACTTTCCAGCACTACAACTTAACTAGAGTGTCCACTTCCCTCCACTATTGTTCCAGTGTCCCCCCCCCCCCCAAACCTAGTTACTCCACCATCACTTCCTACCCTCAAGTGTGAAACTATTAATATACTGTTGAATTTGTTTGCTATGGTTTTGTTTAGGTTCTGCACCAGTTATTGGTCAGTAGTTCTTTTCATACCCTTATCTGCTTTTGGTATTAAAATTATACTGGCTTCATAAAAACTATTTGGAAGAATTCTCTTTGGTTTTTGGAAGAGGTTGAAGGAAAGGTGATTGAATAGGCTGAAAGATGAGATGACTAAAAGTTATGGCAGAGCTTACTAGTAAGACCATTTGAACCTTGACATTTATTTTGAAGAATTCTTTTTTAATATGGGTGACATCCAGTAGTGTTCTAGATATGTTTTGCCTGGTGGTGTGGGCTGAAGACCTGAGTGCCCAGGGGTGACCCGAGTCATACCTGCCAGTATTTATGAGGGCCCTATAACTATACCGAGTAGTACTCATGGAGCTATGTGATACTGGGGAGCTATGAAATATATGAGAAAAGGGGAAATTATTTGAATATATGTTTGTCTAAAGAAGACAAATAAAATAGGCAGACATCTGAGTCCTGGAATACTTTATAGAAGTTAAATGTCTAGAAATGAAAATTAAGAAGTTGCCAGTTGTGGAAGAAAATGAATCAAAAGAGGAAAGTGTCCTAGAAGTGTATGAGCAGTGTTTCAGAAGAGATTATACCAAAAGTCACTGAGTAATTGAACTGAATTAGTAAGGACCATGAAATACTCGGTGTTGTGATAGTCACTTGTTACTGAACATAGACTGTGTTTATAAAGGCTAATGAACACAAACACTATTACGAGGATCTCTAGGTGATGGTTTTCAGATTTGCAAAATTTCAAAAGCTTAATTGGTATGACCCTTATTATAGTCATTATATGACTAACTCAAAGGAAAAAAAAAAGAGTTCACCATAATGCTAATTATTCTGTGAGTTATTTCATTACTTATTTATTTTTGGTTTTTGAGCCACACCCAGTAGTGCTCAGGGCTTATTCCTTGCTTTGCATTCAGGAGTCACTCCTGGTGGTGCTGGAGAACTGTGGAATACTAGAGATTGAACCTGCGTCAACCGCATGCAAGGCAAGTGCCTTACCTGCTATACTATCTCCTTGGCCCCTGTGATTTATTTTTATATTTAAATTTTGTCTTGTGTGTGAAGCAAGATAGTTTTATTAAAATTTAGAAAGATATGAGGAAAACAGAAAAATCTGAGAGGAGAGAAAGAAGGGAAATATGTTCAAGAGACAATACAGGCAGCAAAAAACACTGAGACAAGCAAACAAGATATATAAATCGGGGGAGAACACGGACTTGAAGAGCAAGCCTTTAATTTATTTTTAATTGGGTTAAGGTGAAATATTGTCCTAAAGTCTTCAATAATACAGTGAGTCTAAGTGGTTAGTTAAAACAGTGTAGTCAGAAAAGCAAGACAGAACATAAAATAATTTTATTAACAATCTACAAAATTAGATCATTTGAAGAAAACTTGGCATTCAATTTGATGAGGAACAAGAGGACTGATGGTATAAAAATATACATAGTTCTCTCAAACACAGCTGTTGTTATTTTTGAAATGTTCTCTGGCATTGGCTTTATAATTGCATATTTTTAAATTTTGAAAGTGCTTGTTGAGATGGCACTTACCAAAGTGTGAACATCTCCTTCATTGAGGGTGAGATCCCGCTTGGTGATGAGATGGTTCCGGTCACCTTGACCAGCAAGTGTGTCATTCTTTTCAATTGAATGTGAACTTGAGATCTAGAATCACATAAATATACCTATGGTAAATAATCATGGGGAAAATTTCAGATTGACATCTGCATATAATTGACTAAACAGCAAAAATAACACAGGAAATAAACTCTGAGATTCTTTAGTAAGTAGGAAAGAGTTACCTCTGCTTTCTCATATATTCCTTGCAGGGAAGTTGATGAAACACAGAAACAGTCTAAAATTCACTGTGCATTTCTATGATGAATGTCAACCATAAGTTTATATTTTTTTAACTGTTCTTAGACCAAATTGCATAATAGATTTTCATCCAAACTTAGATACAGGGACAGAGATAACAATTCCAAAAGCACATACAATTCCATAAAATACATATATATCTAGGTTATTTAAGTCAAAAGCACCGTCAATAAGAGGCCGTATCTTAATGCAAAGACAAAATTTCAAAAACAACATAACAGCCTCTATCAATAATATATGTGAATAAACCACAGTGTGATAAAATGTAAGTCAAATTGGGTCAACATCTTCTGAGGCTTGTTACATATAATAAACAGAATATATTTCACCAGGATTTCATGAAATTAATCCTTAGTCGTTACATCAATAAACAATTTGATCCTCATAGTTGTGAACTAAAATACTTTTGATTTCAGTATTAAAATGGCTATTCCACTTTCATGTAATTCTCTATAGCTGTAGAGAAAAAATAAAAGCAAAGAACATCATACTGAAGAGTGGTCGTTCTTAAGTACATTACCTTAATTCTCAAAGGATTGATCTCCATATCTGAAGTGCAATTCATAGATCCATCAATGTCATATTGAAGGATATACAACAAAGTGTTATTGTTATATTTGTATGGCCACTGAAGATTTAGCATTGCCTTGCTGAATGAACTTGGACCATTGTTTCTCAGCTAATAAGGAAAAGAAAATGAAAATACTTTGGACAAAAAAATCTATTTTGAAATCTTTCCCCAACATCAACCTTTAGCAACAGATTTTGAATAACAGTTGTTTCCATAGTTACTCTAAGATTAAATATAACCATTACTAAGCAAAAATTATAGAACAGTTATCTCTAAGGGCAGTATTGTCAGAATAAAAATATAAATAATAAAGGAAAACATAAAACACTATTGATGAGATTTTTTTTCACCAAAATGAAATTTTGCTGATCTATAGTAGTCATTTTCAAGGGTTTTTATTAGTAACTCCAAACATCCATATGAAAATATTAACCATCTAAAATTAATCAGTTTTAAATAATCCATACTAAATTGCTTTATTTAACCACTGTCAAAGAAAAATTACTTATAAATGAGAAAGAAATTCAAGGAAATCTCTGGTAAAAACATAAATGGTATGGAATTTATATAAAAGTTAAATTTGATTAAAATTTTTTTTTATCTTTTAGGTTTTCTTCAACTTTTTTTAAAGTTTCTCAGTTCCTCTACTTGTTGCTGTCTACTAGTCATCAGTTAAATCCAACAACTGCAAACCTCATAGATGTGCTGAACAACTGGCCCAACATCTTCTTCTGTCTCAGGGTTCTCTTTGTACTCCCAATTTGGAATTGGAAGGAAGATATGATCAGGACTTGAGACTCTACACAATGATAAAAGAAAATCTACCATAAATATCAAAATAATATGATTGGTTCATTTTACAAATACCAGATAAGTAAAATCAAAATTAATTTTAAAACATACATATGCTTCAAACAAAGAGAACATACACCTGTATGTGTACACAACTTAATAATCATTTAATCTAGTGTGACAAGTCAATTTGCACAAGATTCAATAAACTTATTTTATGCCTATGATTATAATCTTTGGCATATTTTCAAGGGATTATTGCATATATTATCTGGGACTTTAGAACATACCTAGCACAACATGCTTTGTATTAAGGCCGTCCCTGTAGTAAACAAGAAGTCTTTACTACCCGTAAGATGTCAGATAGGCAGGTCCCATTTAGCATTTTCAACTTGGGTATTTTCAACTTACAATGGGTTTATCAAGAGTATAACACAATGGTAGGCTGAGGAAATTATTTGCAATGTAGGTTATGAGAATGAGATACTCAACTGGGTAATCATACTGACCCTCTTATCTCAACAGCAGCTAAAACAGCAAGGTCAACTTTATAAGATACAACTGGGCTTACTCTGTCAAAAAGGTTGGAGCTGAAAAGCAAAACAATAGATTTAGCATTGAGTTGAGCAGAATCATCAAAAAAAAAATCATGCAGAGGCAAATTCACTGACACCTGCAGAAATTACAGCAAATAAATGAAAAGCTTATAAATTAAAACAATTATTTTAATTTCATGTAATTCCTTTCTTCTTTCCCTTCCTTTCATTCTCTTTCCCTGCCCTCCCTCTCTCTTAATTTATTTGGGGCCTGGGAATTAAACCCAGAGCCTCACACATGTAAGATTGCTCTACCACTAAATTATGTTCACGTCAACATTTTTGTTGTTTTTGTTTTTGGCCACACTGGCAGTACTCAGATGGTTCTCAGCTTATTGTCATAAGTTTAAAATTACAATAAAATCATTCTTCGGGGTGTAATTATTTTATAATCATAAAATCAAGTATCATGTTAGGCTAGTACTTGATTTTAGATTCTTCTATTCCAACTATAAAGTATATTATATTATTAATTTACAATGAAAATATTTAAAAAGTTTCCAATAGTTATTTCCAGACCTTTGGATTTGTAAATCAAATTTCACAGATGTATCCATCTCTGATTGCTGGTGTACACTGAAGCGAAGGCCAGCTGAGAGCTAAGGGAGGAAGAAAAGAGGATACAGGAGAACAAAATCTCATTAGTGAAATTTCTAGTCCAATGTTCAAATAAGAAAGATCTAAAATATGCTTATTCTCAGTTTATATTAAATGGCAATTTTTCTAACAAAGATAATTAAATCAAATTTGCATTGAATCTTTTATTCAGGATACTTAGATAACTCCATACCAGAGTCTAACAATTATTAACTACCACTGTATCTCCTTATATCAACTACTTTGTATTACTTCCTCATAATACTTTCTGGAAAAAAATGCAAAAATAAGTATTTTCTGATCCACGAAGATAGAGTAATCATGTGCAAAGCTTTGGTGATAAAAAGCTGATAATGAAGGCTCGAAAGGGAATGGAGGAAGTAAGGAGTTGCACACAGCCAACCCTGGTTCAATCCCAGATGCTGCATATGCTCCTCAGAACACCTTCTGAGACTAGTCCGTAGCAAAGAGTCAATAATAGCCTCTGAGCACTGCTGGGTATGATCCAATACCCATCCCCTTCCTAAAAGAAGCAAGCAACTGAGAGGCTAGAAATAGTCTAGGGATTAAGGCACATACCTTGCATACCTCTGATTTCAGTCTAATCCGAGGCATGCCATGGTCCCCAAGCATCACCTGGTACAGTTCTGAAGGCCCCTCTACACACTTGTGAAAACTTTTGTGTGTGACCTTGTAACTCCCTACATTTTCAGGTCCTTTATTGAACCCTTGGGCCTCCTGAGCACTGCTTTGGACCCTGAACACAAAAGAGCTAAAAACTGATATTAAATGGCATTTCTGGGGTTTGGTTATCAAAGTGCTTCCCACTCTATAAAACCTGGACCAGAGCATTTGAAATCACTAAAATAATGTATAGTAAATGGGCTGTGAAAGAGATACCCAGAGGGAATATGAGAAAATAAAAAGCTCTTTATTTTTTAATAAAGTTTTGTATTAAATATTTAAAAAGATATGATCCAGGAATTTGTGAAGTTCCCTTCTTTAAGAGACCAAACAGCTAGAAAAAATAATTATTTTTAATGGAAATATACTAAAGATACATAGAATATTTAACACTGAAAAATCTAAGGTGATTGGATATATTTATACATACTAATTTGATACTATCAGAATTATATATATATAAAAAAAGAATTATATCATTTTTAGTGACAGCATCTCCATCAGACCACATTCTATTCATTTCTTTATTGTGGTTAGAGCAACTAAAATCCAGTACCTTAGCAATTTTGTGATTATAATATTATATATGTTTTGGTTTATTTGTTTATTAGACAACACCCAGTGATGCTGGGAAGGAACTACTCCTAGGTCATGCTTGGGGTTCACTCCCAACATAACTTGGCGCAACATGTAGTGCCAGTGGTGGCACCATTTGATCCTTGGCTTATGACCATATAGTTCTCTAGATACTTGGCTCATTCTATCTCATCTAAAAATGAGGGTCTTAGTAGTCAGAATAGCTTTTAAGGATGAATAAAGGCACCAAATTAAAATATCAGAGATACAGTGTCAGTCCTTCATCTAAATATGTTCCTGTCCATTTATTAGATTGAAGGCACTGTGAAGAGTAGTGTACTCAGTATCCTCTATTAGCACAACCTATTATTTTAGTATCTTAGTCAAAAGTCTGCTAGTTATTGTACTCTAAAATCAATTTACAGGCTCTGATTTGAATTGTAAAAAAAACACAGAGGAATTCTCAGAGACTATTCTCTTTAAAGGATGATCTCAAATAATTAAAATATCTTACCTGAGTTCCAGCTTTCATTGGGTTTCCAAGGTCACATACTACCTGGCGGGTTTGGTTTTCTGTCTTAAATGCACAGGAAAGTCTTGCTAATGCCTTTGATAGGCAGAGGGAAAGGATTGGTGAGAAAATTAATTATCAAATAAAAACAGAAGCAATAAAACACAAGCTCCTAAACAATGCCATGCAGTTACATTTTAAGTTTCTTGTTTTACAAAGCATCAATATGAGACAACAGGGTCAGGAAGAGGCCAGAAGAGTTTATAATTGTCACACGCAAATAAATATAAGAATAAATATAAAAATGTTTTGGGGAGAGATCCCAAGAGGACTTTGATACACAACCACATAATCTCTCAGGAAATATCTGATGAACAGGATTAGACATTTTTATCTCTCTGCCCTCCATTCAGGCATAATGTTAGTAAGCCTAAGCATCCCATGAAAGCTTTATGCACAGTATTAGGCTTAAGAGAAATTATGAAAGATAGGCACTCTATTGTGTGGCAATTTAGCTTTAGGTAGGAGGGCTCTGTTAGCACAATACTAAATAGGGGAGTCACTCATTAATGTTAATGAGACCTCTGAGTGCACTTTAGTTTAAGAGACAGCTCACTTACTTCACTGTTGCGGACAACCCCAATGAAATCAGCCTGTGGGGGGATGGAGACGATGAGCTCAGCTTCATAGGCACCTTCTCCTTGATTCTGAGCCTTAACAATCAATGTCAAAGGGTTGTCATCTCCAATATAGATCTTCTTTTGATCACTACAGGAGTGAATACAAATCTTAACAATGAAAAAAAGCCTGCATGTGGAGAGCATGACTGTTCAAAAAAGCATGAAGTAAATATACAGACATTACTGATATATTCAATAGTGGCTCAGGGTTTTCAAGATGACTTCACAGCTCAACAGAAAACTGGAAATAGCATACTGGCTGCAAAGCTGATGCTGGTCTCACTCAGTAAAAGAAAATACAGATGCCACCAGTGCATTAATCCTCCAAATCTGCGATGACAGAATTTTGTTATCTCTTTGTATTATTTAATTTTCCCCTAAAAGCTGAATTAATGCTTTGCAATGATTCTTCCATAATTCTTTAAAATTTGCATGAGAGAAAATAACTTACTATGCACCACTATTCAATGCCAAGTGAAAATAGATCTGTCAATCTAGGCAAGTTGTAAAAACTGCCTAATTTTAAAGCTCAATATTTTGCATTTATAGAAAACCATGCTTTGTCCCTCAAAATAATTGCACTGTAGCACTGTCCTCCCATTGTTCATCGATTTGCTTCAGTGAGCACCAGTAATGTCTCCGTTGTGAGACTTCTTGTAACTGTTTTGGCATATTGAATACGTTACGGGTAGCTTGCCAGGATTTGCCATGTGGGCAAGATAGTCTCGGTAGCTTGCCAGGCTCTCCAATAGAGATGGAGAAATCGAACCTGGGTTGGCCACATGCAAGGCAAATGCACTACCTGCTGTGCTATCACTCCAGTCCTGCTATAGCTCCAGCCCAAATAATTAAAATGGAAATATTCAATATATTTAAATATACTTTTCATCAAGTAAACATTTAATTTCTCATTAAAGTATTACAACTTTGAATAGAAAAATGTGCTCTTCCATTAAAATTTTTTCTTATATTATTAACTTTTGAAAGCAAAACTTACCTATTTACCGAAACTTCTAGTTTAGGCTTACAGACATTATCTTCACCACAGTCAAGTAGAATATGTGCCTAGAAAAGAACATTTTATTTTCCTATGTGGATAAATATCAACAGACTGCACAGACACTGTATGTACTAATATATGCGAATACATTACAGACACACATATTGGCATATATTTATATAGACACTAGAACTTGCTTGCGTAACTGAATGCAAAATGATCATGGCTGTTTTTGAAGAAACAAGTCAGTGTAAATAATTAAGTATGGAAAAGAGGAAGAAAATTTATAGAACATAACATTAGTCAGAACCTTTTAGTTCTTTTGCAAAGTAAACTGTGAACAAGTAGAAAAGAGATAGATGAGAAATAAGGTTTAGCTTGAACCTGCTGCAGCTACCTAAATTGAGTGGCCTTGGATAAAATAAACTCTTCTTATTTCTTCCTCTGCTCACATCATGAAAAATATGACCTAAAAATTATATGTGTGTGTAAAATATGTAATAAGACAAATATAACTGTAGATAAATAATAGCAATTCTTTTTTTCTTTCTCTCTCTCTCTCTCTCTTCTTTTGTGGGAGAGGGTCACACCCAGTATTGCTCAGGGGTTACTCCTGGTTCTGCACTCAGAAATTACTCCTGGCGGTGCTGGGACCATATGGGATGCCAGGGACTCAGGTTGTCACATGCAAGCCAAATGTCCTACTCTCTGTATTATCGCTCGGGCCCAAATAGCAGCAATTCTGAAAGGCATATAAAAGGGAACAGAAACTAAACAAAAGGAGTAGATAGCATAAGTGGGGGCAAATGGAAACAGTAAAGGCCACAGAACTATTAAAGTGAGCTTATCCAGGACAGGTAAAATAAGGAAAAACCTTTGTTTTTCATGTTGGGTCAAAAATAAATTATATGAATACTAAATAAAGAAGATGGGAGGCATCACTTTCCCCAACTTCAAACTGTACTACCAAGCAACAGTATTAAAATAAAGACACTGAGATATTTTAGCAGAGTTAATCTTCAATAAAGGAGCAAAATATATGAAGTGGAGCAAGGAAAGTCTTTTCAAAAAGTGGTACTGGGAAAAATGGTCAGCTAAATGCAAAAAAAAAAGATGAATTCAATAATTCAATGAATTCAAACCTCTTTCTAATGCCATGCACAAAAGTTAAATCAATATTAGGCCTCAATCCATAATGTATATGGAGAAAAATGTAGGCAGAACCCTTCATGACATTGAGGCTAAAGGCATTTTCAAGGATAAAACACCACTGACCAAACAAGTAAAATAAAAGATTAACAAATTGGACTACATTAAATTGAAAAACTTCTGAACCTCAAATGAAATGATAACCAGGATACAAAGACAGCCCAGGAGATGGAAAAGATTTATTTCCCAACACTCATCTATCTGATAAAGAGTTTATATCAAAGATATATAAGGTACTAGTAGAATTTTACAAGAAAAAACATCCAACTCCATCAGAAAATGGGGAGAAGAGGTGAACAGAAACTTTCTCAAAGAAGAAATACAAAGACACATGAAAAAATGCTCTGCATCACCAATCATCAGGGAGATGCAGATTAAAACAACAATGAGATATTATCTCACACCACAGAGACAGAAACACATCAAAAAGAATAATCAGTATACATGTGGATGTGGGGAGAAAGCAAAATCATTTATTGCTGGTGGGAATGTTAACTAGTTCAGTCTTTTTGGAAAAGTAATGTGGACATTCCCCCCCCCCAAAAATCTAGGAATTTGGAGCTGGAGCAATAACACAGTGGGTAGGGTGTTCTCCTTGTATGTGGCCGATCCGGGTTTGATTCCCAGCATCCTATATGTTCCCCAGAGCACCTCCAGAAGTAATTTCTGAGTGCACGAGTCAGGAGTAACACCTGTGCATCACTGGGTGTGACCCAAAAAGAAAAAAAAATCTAGGAATTAAACTCCATTTGACCAGAAACTTCACTTCTTGGATTATGCACCAACAACCTAAAAGCAAAATGGAGAAATGACATTTGCACCCCTGTGTTCCTTGCAATACCATCTACAATAGACAAAATATGAAAATAACCCAGTGTCCAAGAATAGATGACTAGATAAAAAAACTATGATACATATATGAATATTACTCAGCCATGAAAAAAAGATAAAGTCATAAAATTTGCTGCTACATGGAGGGACCTGGAAAGCATCATCTAAGTTAGTTAGTAGGAGAGAGATTGACACAGAAAGATTCTTCTCATATATGGCATATAAAAAAACATAAGGAAGGAACACAAAATACCCAAAGACAATGGAAACAAAGAACATGAGCAATGGTATTCAGTAGGAAACATGTCATTTGATATGTATACGGGATAGAACAGGGAGGGGGCAAGGACTATGGTGGAGGGAAGTGTTCCACAGGAAGTGGTGCTGAAAAGTGTTAAGTATGAAACCTTACCAGCAACAGTACTGTAAAGCATGTGCTCTGGTCTTTTCAGACATTTTCTTCATGCATGTACTCTCTTTTTAACAATTAAAATGTAAATCAAAGTAAATAGATCTAAAATTTATTTAGCAGAACACTAAAATACTAACAATACATAAAATACCATAAAATACTATAAAATACTATAAATTATGCTTTGTTGTCTAAATTACTTTATCATTCACATGCAGAGAATATGGCTCCAGTGATTTTAAACATTTTTGATCTGAGTATTTAGATTCCCTTTCTCTGTCTTAACTAAAGACTCCTACATCACAAAAACATTGTTAAGAGGATTCAAAACACGAATGTAAGACCTTAAGAGCGATGAAATGATAAAGGTAGTGATAAATTGAGATAGTAAGTACCTGTCGACTAACGTTGGCGGGAGTAAACTGGTTAAGAATGGGTTGCAAGCCAGTTGCATCAGCAGAAGTTCTATAATCCAACCGATACTCCATAAAAATAGTAATTGGAGTGAGTTTGTCTCTAAATTCTGATTCATCCTAGCAAGGGGAAAACATCAAATTAATGGCGCATTAACCTATAGCATCAAACTAGCTGGACAAATAAATCCCTAAGTGCACAAGACAAAGTTCACCATATTCATTCCCCAATCCATTGCCACCCAAATTCAATAAGAAGAATATCTGAAAAGATTATCATTTTCCAATGAGAGGGCTCTCAATTTCTGGTTTATAGTGCTTGCAATACTCAATTCCCTCCAAAATTTATATTGCACATTAAAAATAAACACTCAAACACAAACCAGAACATTACCCACATTATTTAAGATACTACACATTTCTTCTTCTCCTTTCTTTGCCTTTTCTAAATTTTAACTTAACCAGTCCCTTGCTTTCAGTAGTTTATGTTGTGTTAGTTAAGTATATTTGGAGGAGGGAGGATAAGAAGGAGAGACATGCACACCTACCAGTGCTCAAATGACCATAAAATAGCTAAAATAGCAGGGATCAATCTAGGTATCCCACATACAAAGCATATGCTCCTACCCTCCGAGTTATCTCCCCAGCCCTTCACTGGTGTTAACAGCATGTATATGTTTCTTGTTGGAGTACATGGAGCTTAGGTTTATCAGATTGTACCCATCACAGTGCTCCCGAGTCACTCCCATTACTTTGTCTGTCTGTAACCTCTTCTATGCTCTCTTCCCCAACCAATTTGTAAGGTCTCATCCTGCTTAGACACTGAAGCTGTACTGTAAGTTAATATTGTCTTTCTCCTCTCCTTATGTCTTTTGAGCAGTTTACCTTAATGCAATGTCCTTTTGTATAGATACAGGAAGATAATTAATTAATATGCTCGGTAACTTAGGAATTGATTGGCTTAGAATATTATTCACTCCTGGGCATCTGCCTTCTCAACTTAAGCCTCAGTTGCCCTCACTTCCTAGCACCCCAAGGGCAGGGTCCCAACGTGGGACTGGATGGAACCAGGGCAAGCCGGTAAGTTATGTGCTACCCTGGCATCACAATGGGCCAGGCCAAGATGCCACGATTCTTAACTATAAGTTAAGAGTTTGATCATAGGCAAATGCTGTCATGATCCAAAAGTAACGACGAGACTAGGGCCCTGCTAGGAATAGGAAAGATATCTGGCCTGAGCACTGCAGTCTGAGATCGAGATGGCCCTAGGAGAGCAATTCTATAAACTCAAAGTATTTCTTACTGTGTCCATACGAAATGATTAATATTATGTATGCTTATATGTTGGTTGGACAAGGAGAGGAGAAACACGTCCTAGAAGCAGTTTCCTGTGTGTCCTGACTAGCTTGGATGAGACTGCTTTTTTGGAGATGTAGATTCCAAGCTCTTGCAGACTGGTCTTTGTTGTGCTAATCTAAGTGCTTGTAGCTTGTGAAAAGGTGAGGCCAGGATTACTGGCCTGCTGATGTAAGGAAACAATGTATGTTTGCTGCCTCAATGTTCTTTCTGTAACTCCTTTTGATGACATCATTATATTGCGCCCTTTAGAGTACTATGATCTATATAAGGGAGATTTCAGGGCTCTCTGGGGGGACACGTGCATCAGAGAACCTGGGAAGATGGGGCTGAGGACAGAAGCTGAGAGAACAAAGGAGCACGTGCTTGAGGATTCCTGAGGCCTCCATGACATACATCTCTTCCATGTAATAAACGGTTGCTAAGACCAACCAGCTCGGCCTCGTTTCCTTCCTTCGCCTGACCATCGCCATCGACCTCCCTGGAGTGGGGAAACGGCCTGACCACCGGCCTTTTTATTTTTTGTGTGTTTACACAACTGGCATCCCCGAGTTTGTGTAAAAGGGCTCTCTGGGGGGACACGTGCATCAGAGAACCTGGGAAGATGGGGCTTAGGACAGAAGCGGAGAGAACAAAGGTGCACGTGCTTGAGAGATCCTGGGGCCTCCATGACATACATCTCTTCCATGTAATAAACTGCTGCTAAGACCAACCAGCCTGGCCCCCGCTTCCTTCCTTCGCCTGACCATCGCCATCAACCTCCCTGGAGTAGGGAAGCGGCCTGACCGCCGACCGTTTTATTTTTGTGTGTTTACACATTTCTAAATAACTCATTCTTCAGTTTTTATTCCTCCGTATTTATTTTAAAATATTACATGGGTCCTTGTCATGTGGCTTAGAAGGAGAATGCCCACCTTACATGCATAGGGCCCCAAGTTTGACATCTACCACTAATTCACATTGCCAAATGTAATTCCCAACAAACTGTAAGCAAGTGTGTGAGCCCCAGAACAAGAACAGTAATAAAGGAAAGGAAATAAAATATTTTACATATTCTCCTGTGAATTACTTTCTGTTCAATGCTCATGAGAAGGTTCATCCATGTCATTGCATATAGCAGATTTTATTACTGAATAAATATTTTACCCATATAATAAATCCAGTTTGATCCATTCTCCCACTGGAGATTTCTGAATTTTTGTTTTTTTTGTTTGTTTTTGCTGTTACAAACAGATCTGATAATGTTTGGACTTCTCTGATTTGTCTGTTTTCCTAAATGCCATAACCAAGTCATTCATAATTATTCTATTATTTTAATCCTTTATCTTGTAGTTAGGTTCCTTCATCTGTAATTGTGTTTATTTTTCCAATTCCTGATTTTTTGTGTTTTTTCTGTTCTTTCCTTTTTGAGGGTGCTGGGGGCACACCTGGCTAAACTCAGGTCTTACTCCTGGCTCTGCACCCAGGGATCAATTCTTGGAGGGTTCAGGGGACCATATAGGGAGCTGAGAATTGAACCTGGGTCAGCTATGTGCAGCTAAGTGCCTTACTGCTGTACTATCCCTCTGGGTACTCTTTCCTTCATTTTTCTTAATGGATCCATTTTTCATTTAAATAGCATTTAAGGATATACAATTACCTGTACATTCTACTTCTAAGATAGCCCACAAATTTTGATATATAATATTTTCCTTATATTTTAGTTCTAAATCAAATTCCAGTATGACCATTTTTCTTTTTTTTCTTTTTAGGATTACTGGGCCACACCCAATTCTGCTCAGTGCATACTCCTGGTTCTGTACTCAGGGATCACTCCTATCAGGGCTCGGGGGACCATACCAGGTGCTGAGGATTGAAGCTGGGTCAGAGCTGTGCAAGTCAAGCGTCCTATTGGCTGTACTATCATTCCCATCCATGATCACTTCACTAATCCAAGTCATATAAAAAAAAATTACTAATTTATTCCTTTTGTTTTTGATTTCTAAAAGTTATACCTTAACTAAATAGCACTTTTGATCAAAAAGCATAATTCCTTTGACTCTGCCTTTGTGTTTCTTCCTTCTCTCCCTTTTCTTATGGTGGTTATTTGTGTGACGATAAGACGTCCACACACTTGGTTGCGGTGCTTGTGGACTTCACAGCTGCAGTGAATTTCCAGAGATGCACACTTCAGATATGGTATTCACTTCCATTGGACTGTGGTGCACCAGAGATGGAGCACTTACTATTATTGCTGAAAATCCCCAACGGCAAAACTATTGGGGTCAAACTCAGGCATGTGGGGGTGGAGCTGGGGGGTCAAACCAGAAGCCTCACTAGCATCATGCTTATGAGGCAAATGCACTGAGCTGAGCTATATCCAAATCCGTTTCCAATTAAAGGGGAAAAAAGGTGCTTGGGCTTCTTTTATGACCTACATATATAATCTTTATATCTTCTCATTGTTGGGTGCAAGTCTTATTAAACTGAACTCATTGATTTTGTTACTTCTGTATTTTTACTGAAGATGGAGTTGTTGAAAATATTTCATCTTTTATTTCCTTAAACATAGTTTCAAAAAGTTGTAAAATACATAGGTGTTTAGAAAATATATCAAATTCATTAAATATAACTGATAACTCTAATACCTCAAAGCTTTCTAAGTCTAAAATCTGCTGTTTCTTGGGTGGTTAGTACCTTTCTACAAATGCAATCCTAGCACCCAACTCTGGGGTCACCCATTCCAAGTACAGGGTGCACGGTCTCCTCTTATCTATCTATTTATTTATTTACTTTGGTTTAGGACCATACTCAACAAAGCTCAGGGGTCATTCCTGGATGTAAGCTCAGGACTCGCTCCTGGCAGGCTCAGGGAATCATAGGAGATGCCGAGGATTGAACACAGGTCAGCTATGTCCAAGGCAAACGTCCTACCTGCTCTACGATGGTTCTTGCACCTCTCCTTTATTTATAGCACTGCATACTGGGCTTGCCTGGGTCTTTCCATCAGAAACAAATTTCCTTCATTTTTTAACCTTCCATCTCTCTTTCTAGAGAATCTTATATTCTCCTTTGACTTTGCATCAGCCCTCAATAAAATTATCCATTTTATGAAATAAAATAAAATTTACCTATTTCATTTACCTATTTTACTTCACTGGGGGAAAAAGCATTCCTATTTGATTGAACTCCATCTGTGAAAAATCTGGGGAGTATTTTAGATTGTTCAAGAGAGGTCCTGCATTACTCTTACTGATGTCAGGCTTATTTGTTTCCTGAGACCTTCATGCAAGTGACAATCTCAGAAGGAGTTTCTGGTTGGACATGGCAGGAAGAAGGCCTTAGGCCAGCCCTGCACTAGTTCCCATAATTACCTCCCTGGTTTATGCTCATAACCAGCTCACAATCCTAGGCTGTCTTGGCTAGAACATCTTGCTCACATAGTCAATGGAGCTTCATAACCAATTGCTTGTATTTTGCTTATATTTTGGACGCTGATGATTTCTCTCACTGTTTTGAGAGACAAGCAACTTTTCAGAAAAATGTTTGTCATAGTTTAGTCAATTTAGCATTTACTGTGGAAAGGCCATTTGGAATAGCCATTCTACCCAGTTAGAAGTCAACTGTTCAAGTATGACAATTTAAAAAAGCAGATTTTCCCAAGTTTTTTTTTTCTTTTTAAATATTTAAGGCAATGTGTTCAGGATGGTGTTGAATTGATGGTCTTAGTGTACAAAGTACTCCAGTTGTGTTTTTCTGTGTTCTCCTTTTTATTTAGCCCCCAAAGTGAAAATCATTTTGATGAAAGAAAAAAGTAAGTGGAAGAAAATCTGGTGGGGTGGAAAAGTATCTCTTACCCTTAGATAAGCAGTTAGTTCTTCACACTGCATTTGTCCCCCTCTTGATATGGTCATATTCTTGGAGTGACCCGGGGACCTGTTATGAAGAAATAGTGCTCGCCGAATTGCTCCTTTTTGCTTCAGCTTATCCAAAAGAAGCTCCACCTGGAAGTCTATATAAACCGGAGGATTTATAACCAATATAATCTCTGAACACCATTCTGTCTGAAATGTCTTGAGTTCTCACAAAAATCTGCTTCTAACTCATTATCAATGTCTACATTGGGTGAGACCGTACATATTAATTTTGAATATTCATTTAATCCAACTATCCGCAAAAGAATGTTATATATTAATCCCAGACATTAGCAAATGATGGCGGTAAAATAACTATCAGAGATTTATTTTATTTGAATTAAGCTGAGATCATAATACTCAGAATATAAAATAAGTCAGTGAAGACTTTCATCATTAATTACTAGTAAAACAGTTGTTCTGATTAAGAATTTTTTACATACATGTACCCACACCATTACATTAAACTCTATAATGAATCATCAATTTATATTACTTGAAAATCTTAATTTCTATTTTTGTTTGTTTGTTTTTGTTTTAGTGGACATACCCAGTGATGTTCAGGGCTATGCCCGGCTCTACATTCAGAAATTACTCCTGGTAGTGCTCAGGGTACCATATGGGATTTTGAGGACAGAATCTGAGTCAGAGGCATGCAAGGCAGTGCTCTATCAGCTGTTCTATCTATTCGGCCCCACTACTCTTAATTTCAATGAAATCACCATATCAAATTATCAGATAAATATGTACCTTGCAATGCAAATGACCAAATATGGCTGATCTTGTTTTTCGTTTTGGGGCCACACCCTGCAATATTCAGGGGTTATTTCTGACTCTGCATTCAGGAATTATACCTGGCAGTGCTTGGGAGACCATATGGGATGCCAGGGATTGAACCTGGGTTAGCTGCATGCAAGGCAAGCACTATACCCACTGTTCTACCGTTCCAGCCACATAAGAATCATTTTATTATTTATTTTTTTGCTTTTTGGGTCACACCCGGCAATGCACAGGGGTTACTCCTGGTTCTGTGCTCAGGAATTACCCCCGGCAGTGCTCAGGGGACCATATGGGATGCTGGGAATCGAACCCGGGTCGGCCGTGTGCAAGGCAAACGCCCTATCCGCTGTGCTATTGCTCCAGCCCCAAGAAGAATCATTTTTAAATAAAAGCGTAACTGATAGTTTGAAGCAGAACCATCTAAGATTCATTTAATCTTTCAGTCATTTATTCAAAGGAAATAAAATGATGGATCTTTACAACTACAAATACCTTTCCAAGTTTCTATAGTTGTTAACTTTCAAGACAAATATGGGTATAAAGCCCAGGATTATTTTCCTTCCAGTTCCATTCTAATTACCTACATTGCTTTCCTTGCTACTTTTTTTTTTTTAATGCAGGAGTACTGCTTCCTTGCTACTTTTGAAACATACAAAGTATGCTCCTACCACAGGACTGCGGAAATTACTACTTCCTTTAGGCAAATACAATTGCAGAGTCACTCCCCCCACCAAGTCCTTCATTTCCTCCTGTCCTTCTTGAAGTTATCATCTAAAGAGGGTATACGTTGCCATCTACATGGACTTTCATACAAGGACACACCTAACAGACCTCGTTTATTCTCCAGGTATTATTTGTTTTCAGCACTTGTCACTAACATGATGATGAATTTTGGCAACAAAGGGAACTCTCCCTCTCAGGGAAAAAAATTTCTTGAGAGTCAAGTTAGAACTTTCTTTTTTTTTTTTTCTTTTGCTTTTTTTTGGGTCACACCTGGCAAAGCACAGGGGTTACTCCTGGCTTTGCACTCAGGAATTACCCCTGGTGTTGCTCAGGGGACCACATGGGATGCTGGGAACTAAACCTGGGTTGGCCGCATGCAAGGCAAATTCACTACCTGCTGTGCTATTGCTCCAGCCCCCAACTTAGAACTTTCACTGTGGATTAAATTTAGTTGCTAAAATATTTTCTTCTTTGCATTACTTCTTTTTAAAAAAAAAAACTTTTTTAATTAAAATTTTTAAAAATTTTATCACTGTGAGCTAAAGTTACAAAGTTTTCATGTTTAAGTTTCAGTTATACAATGATTGAACACATTTTCCACCACCAATGTCCCCAGTATTCCTCCCCCACACCCCCAGCCCTTTCCTTGCCTCTATGGCAGACAATTTCCCTCTTATTCTCGCTCACTTATGGACATTATGGTTTGCAATACAGACAATGAGAGGCCATCATATTTGGTCCTTTATCTACTTTCAGCACACATCTCCCACCCCGAGTGATCCCTCCAACCATCATTACTATCTGTACTTACTTCTAAGATAGCTGGAGGATTCTCAGGGACATAAAATAGAAACTCAGCAAATCATCTACTTCTAGGCAATAATACTGATTTTTCCCTAGGGCTCCTCTATTTCATATTGGCCAATGCTGAACTTTCTGAAGGCCATCTCTTCCATTCAGTGAAATATTGATAAGTTAAAAATGTCAATAAATAAACATCATTTCTGAATTGACTTAAGTTGAGAAAGCAGTTATAGTACAACTTTAAAGCTTTTAAAACATAAACTTTCAAATAAAACAACTATTTTCATAACTATTAAAAATACCTTAAAACATGTTTTAAATTTCATATATATTTTTAAAGTATTTTGTTATTTGATTACCTAGAAAATAAAAATAATTTCCCATAGAATACTTACTAAGTTTTTCCGGAAGTTCTCCTTTGCCATCTGCCTTTAAGCAGAACTTTACTTTAAAACTGTGGAGAAATAAAAAATATATACATATATATTTTTATAATCTAGTTTAAACAATTTTGAATGCCATCCAAATCTCACATTTATAATATATTCTGAAGTCTTATATATTTTCATAAATCTTACTATTATCCTGACTACATGAAATCTATAAAGTAAGCTAGTACACTCTGTAGTACTTTTTATACTACTTTGCTGAGAAAAGGAAAGAGAAAATAATTTCTTAATCCTCTTTCAAATTTATAGAAGGTAAAGGTAAAGGTAAAGGCCCTCCCGTTGATCGTCGATTTGCTCGAGCGGGCCCAGTAACGTCTCCATTGGAGACTTTGTTGTTACTGTGTCTGGCATATCGAATACTCTCGGTAGCTTGCTGGGCTCTCCGAGAGGGGCAGAGGAATCAAACTCGGGTCGGCCATGTTGGCTGCTTTAAGGCGAACGCCCTATCCGCTGTGCTATCACAGAAACTATTAATAAATATAAATGAGGGAAGAAATAATCTAAATTTTAAAAAACTTATTTAATAAAAACCCAGCCAATGCATATTTTAATTTGCAAACTCTTTAAAAGGTTTGTAGCAAATTATTAATGGATTATGAAATTCGTAATGAGTACTACCCAGCACCTTAATAAATTTAAATAAATAAAACTGATTTTTATGTATCAAGAGAAAAATTTTCAGTAAATTTTCATTACATTCATGCATTTAGTGGATTATAACCCAAATGCATTTTGCACCATGTGTTGTAATAAAAAACATGTGAAAGTTAGTGCTATAACTATTAGATTAGAGATCTTTGAATTAGCATAATGCTCGAGCGGGCCCAGTAACGTCTCCATCGGAGACTTTGTTGTTACTGTGTCTGGCATATCGAATACTCTCGGTAGCTTGCCGGGCTCTCCGAGAGGGGCGGAGGAATCGAACTCGGGTCGGCCATGTTGGCTGCGTGCAAGGCAAATGCCCTACCACTGTGCTATCGCTCCAGCATAATAATAATAATAAACATTATTATTTTATATAATAATAAACATTATTAACAACTTTATAGGAACATGTGGGAGAGTGAAGAGAAAATGCAGTAAAATTTAAAAGCAAATTCTTTTAAACTTCACAGGCAATAAATTAAAGAGCAAATACTGCTGGCTTTTTCAGATAATCCAATAAAAAATAAAATTCCAAATAATTATTTTTAATAACTTAAAAAGGTAAACAGAAAAAAAATCTTTTCATTATCTCTAATAAGAATAAAATTTTTTCAACTTCCATTCATTCAATTTTTCATTTAAAACTGTTTCTCAGAGTACAGCATTCATGATGATGTTAATAGCATGAGTTAGTATTTTTCATTATTAATTTTAATCTATTTACACATACAAGAAACAGGTTACTCCATTTTAATTTAAAATGTTTTAAAGTAAGATGAGTCTATTTTTAAAAAGAATATTATAAAAACAGGTAAAATGAAAAGAGCAAAAATCAGAAATATAGCAAACAGTAGTACACAAATGATACTTTGCCCTTCCCCCAAATTATCTTTTTCTTCTAAAACTAGGAATAGAACAAGCAGAAAATCAATATACTGGATTAAAACTATCTTTTCATATACTTATTCATAGATAATAAATTGGAAAAAGAGCATAGCCCTAGAAATAAAAATGTTCACTGTTCTACTTAGAAATAAAATATAAATGAGTTTTGAGAACTTTAGTTTTTTCTTCTTCATGAATTATTCATTATTCATACATTATTTATAAAAATTAATATGCTAGTAACATATTTGTAGATCTGCAAATCTCTAATATTTCTACAATCCAACCTATATTATGAAAAGTGTATACTTATGGAAATGTCTTTAGCAGTATTTCAATACCCTAATAATGAATGGACCAATAATCACAATAACAGATATTCTTTAACAAGAATAAATATCCCTTACCAGGAAACTTTGAGATCCGTGCCAGGCAGTAGACAGGTTTTATTATCCTGATTTAAAATGCTAGGGTACACTTCAAGGCCAGCATTTACCGTGATGACTGGTCTGGCCCTGGTAACAAGAACAAAATAAGTTCAATTAATTTAAACATTTTAGGTTTACAGTCACTGCATATCAAGGGCAATGTTTATGGCAGCACTGTTCATAATAGCAAAAAGAACAGACACAACTGATAAAAGCAGATTGACCAGTCATCACCGTACCAGAACTGTCCTCTTTTACCAAAGGGAGTATGACTTCCAAGGAAATCCCTCAGTTCTAGGAAAATGGTTTAAATATTCAACCTGGGGCTGAGTACAGGTGGAGTGTTTGTCTTGCACATGGCTAACCCAGGTTCAATCCCTGAGATTCCACAAAGTTCCCCAACCACAACCAGGAGTGATTCCTGAATGCAGAGTCAGGAGCAACCCCTGAGAATCACTGGGTGTGGCCCTAAAACAAAAACAAACAAGCTTTTGTATGTGAAAAGCTCAGACTAATGAGTTCATCAAATCAAAGTAGAATGGTTAAAGAAGATGTGGGGTTATCTACCTAATTCAATAAATAATGTGAGAAAAAGAAAGCCAAGAAGAAATTCTCACATTTGTGAGAATATGGGATAATCTTCTAAGATATACCCAAGAAATATATTTTTTTCCTTTTGGGGTCACACCCGGCGATGCTCAGGGCTGATTCCTGGCTCTGCACTTAGGAATCACTCCTGGCGGTGCTCAGGGGACCATATGGGATACTGGGAATCAAACCTGGGTTGGCCACATGCAAGGCAAACGCCCTACCCAATGTGCTATTGCTCCAGCTTCCCAAGAAATAATTTTAACAGGAGAAAAACCCCACAATATACAAAGAATGGGTATACACATATACTCACAAAGACACACAGAAACGCACATAGACAGACACACATACACACACAATTTTGTTTGTTTGGAGCCACATCCAACAGTGCTCAGGGCTTACTCCTGGCTCTGCACTAAGGGATCACTCCTGGTAGTGCTTGGGGGACCACATTAGGTAACTGGGATTCAATATGAGTTTGTTGCAGATAAGGCAAGAGCTTACCCTCTATATGCTCAATGAAATCCCCAAACACATTTTTTTAAAAATGCATAGGATTGTTTTGGTAGAAATACTAATCAAGTTAATTAGTGATATAGAAGAAAATAAACTTTGGGGCTAGAGAAACAGTTCAATAGGCTTTGCACATACTTTGCATGCAGGCAAACAGCATTCAAGCACTTGAGCACTACCAGGAGTGACCCCCAGAGCACAGAGTCAGGTATATACCCTGAGCATTACTGGGTGTGGTCTACTCCCCACTTCCCCCCAAAAAACAAAATATTTTTTATTGTAGCACTGCACTACACTGTCCTCTTGTTGTTCATCGATTTGTTTGAGCGGGCACCAGTAACATCTCCATTATGAGACTTGTTGTTACTATGTTTGGCATATTGAATATGTCATGGGTAGCTTGCCAGGCTTTGCCATGTGGGCGGGATACTCTTGGTAGCTTGCCGGGCTCTCCAGGAGGGGCAGAGGAATCGAACCCAAGTTGGCCATGTGCAAGGCAAACACTCTACCTGCTTTGCTATTGCTCCAGCCCTTTTTTTTATTGTATGTCCTTTTATATTGTTTGCAATTTTTTCCCCCTCCTGGCGTGGTGGGGAAGAGTTGGAGCCATACCTGATAGTGTCAGGGGCTAATACCAGTCCAGTGCTTAGTGATTGTTTCTGGTTGGTGGGGGTGAGAAGGCAGGGGAAGAAACCATGTAGTTCGGGGAGAGAACCCAGGCCTCCAGGATGCAAATCATGTACACTAGTCCTTCAAATTATCCTCTAGTCTCTACTATTTGAATTGTTGTCATGTGTATATAGTTCATCATTAGCAACTTTTTTAAAAAATGAAACACTATATAATAAATACAGTTTTCTGAAGTTCAAATTAACAACTTTAAACTATACTCTCTATATGGCTCAGGTCAACCTCACTGTCTGAAAAGGAAAATATTCTGTAATCTATACAAATGCATGTGAAATGAGAGCTACAATCAGGTTGACTCATTACTGATTAGATGAAACAGTTCCATTACACACCATGAGACAGTGCCAATCTAGTTTTCCTGCCACATATTAACATAAGTCTTGCACAGGCATAAACACCTTAATCTAGCTTGCATGCCAAAAAGTATTCTTAAGAACTGACAAAAGACAGAAATTGAGAATATGCCTAAAGTGAAAAAATACAATATGTGAATTAAATATGTTACTCTCATAAAAAAAACATTCATTTGAGTCATTTTATATTTAGCCCTGTGGTCACAAAATGCTATGACAGAAACACAAAGTTTCTTATTTGGTAGAGAAAAATAAAATTTCATATCATTTTATTTTTTTTCTTTTTGGGCCATACTCGGTGATGCACAGGGGTTACTCCTGGCTCATGCACTCAGGAATCACTCCTAGCAGTGCTCAGGGAACCATAAGGGATGTTGGGAATCGAACCGGGGTTGGCTGTGTACAAGGTATTGCTCCAGTCCCTTAGGTCATTTTTATTTATTTGTAACTTTTTTGTTTGTCTGTTTGGGGGCCACACCCAGTAGTTCTCAGGGCTTATTCTGGGCTCTATGCTCAGGGATTATTCCTGGTGGGTTTAGGGGATCATATGTGGTGCCACGGATCGAACCCAGGTAGACTGCGTACAAGGGTCAGTGCCTTACCCACTGTTCTATAGCTCCAGCTCAGTTCAGAGTTTTAAAGAAAGATTTACATCACAGGAGGATATCTTTTAACATAACTTAAGAAAAGTTCTGAATCTTTCCTAAAAATCTCAGCTTTTACAAAATGAAACACCAAAAACAAAAGAGGGCCAGAGAAATAGCTCAAAGGTCTAGAACACATCCTTTGCATGCAGAAGACTTTGGGTTCAATCTCCTTACACTGTAAGGTTCTCTGTGCCCAACCAAGAACAACTCCCAGCACAGAGGAAAGAGAGGTTATCCAGGACCATAGGTTCTGGGTCCCCCAAAAAAGAAAGGAAAATCAATGGTGGCATTGACTTTTGTATTTCTGTATGAATATTGCTTGCCAACAATAATTTTTTAAATGGAAAGATCCATTATTTCAAGAAAACTTAACCGAAAATCAAACACTGGTACTTAATTTTATAATTTTATAACTTAAATAACCCAGAATATTCTTATTATAGGATACAGACTCAAACTCACCTATATAATACAGCCCGATCTACACCAAAAGCACCCACAATTAAATCTGAAAAGAGAGTAGACAAGATATGTTGATTATAATTTTAAAATTCACACACCATTTACAAAACTTGATATGTAGTAAGGATTTAGACCACTTTTTTGCTAAAGTGGGCAATATTGCCTCTCCCCAAGGAACATAGAAGGGATTCCAAGTAATTCTGTTTTCTGGAAAAATGACATAGAGCAAGTAAGTTTGCAAATGTATAAGATAGAATCTCAAAACTTCTATAAGTAGTGATTGTAAGACAGCATACAAGGAAGCGTTCAGAATAAGAGAAGGAACACATGGAGGGTGCGGGATCCCGGAGGAAAAGAAAAAAGAAAAAACAGGTTCCAAAAAGAGCCGAGAGCACCGGCAAGTTCCAGATGGAGTAGGCGCCGCATCCCGCCTCCCCCAGATGGAACCCTGGTGACCAGAAGCCTCTACAAACACAGCTAGAGTATGCGGGAACGAGGACTTTTTCTCAAATCTGCCGGACTACACCTCCCAGGTAACCTCTGATTCCGGAAGTCACGCCCACAGCCCGCCCCCCAGCGCCATCTTTGAAGCATTCAGAATAAGAGAAGGAACACATGGAGGGTGCGGGATCCCGGAGGAAAAGAAAAAAGAAAAAACAGGTTCCAAAAAGAGCCGAGAGCACCGGCAAGTTCCAGATGGAGTAGGCACCGCATCCCGCCTCCCCCAGATGGAACTCTGGTGACCAGAAGCCTCTACAAACACAGCTAGAGTATGCGGGAACGAGGACTTTTTCTCAAATCTGCCGGACTACACCTCCCAGGTAACCTCTGATTCCGGAAGTCACGCCCACAGCCCGCCCCCCAGCGCCATCTTTGAAGCGTTCAGAATAAGAGAAGGAACACATGGAGGGTGCGGGATCCCGGAGGAAAAGAAAAAAGAAAAAACAGGTTCCAAAAAGAGCCGAGAGCACCGGCAAGTTCCAGATGGAGTAGGCACCGCATCCCGCCTCCCCCAGATGGAACTCTGGTGACCAGAAGCCTCTACAAACACAGCTAGAGTATGCGGGAACGAGGACTTTTTCTCAAATCTGCCGGACTACACCTCCCAGGTAACCTCTGATTCCGGAAGTCACGCCCACAGCCCGCCCCCCAGCGCCATCTTTGAAGCGTTCAGAATAAGAGAAGGAACACATGGAGGGTGCGGGATCCCGGAGGAAAAGAAAAAAGAAAAAACAGGTTCCAAAAAGAGCCGAGAGCACCGGCAAGTTCCAGATGGAGTAGGCGCCGCATCCCGCCTCCCTCAGATGGAACCCTGGTGACCAGAAGCCTCTACAAACTCAGCTAGAGTATGCGGGAACGAGGACTTTTTCTCAAAACCGCGCGGCCGCTTATGCGGCCGCGCGACATCTCTCTATATACAAAGTGATCAATGAGAAGTAAACCACCCAATCTTTCTCCCTGAAAATCAGAGTTAAGTTTGGAGCATGGCCACAGCCCCAGAAACACAAGGACTCAAGGCAGAAACCAGCAGCTTAGAGCAGAAAAGTGAACGGACGATGAGTTAACCCAGGCCATCATTTCTGCCCAGAGGGGAATGGGTGTTGCCCCATTCGCCCTCTCTTCTCTAGAAAGAAGGATGTCGGCCGCATGGGAGCCTTGTGGACAGCAGGTATGAGCCGGGGGTGTGGGGGCGACTAAAACTTCACGACCAGTTGCCCCCACGAGCGGCTCTCCAGCACGGCCACAGCCCCAGAAGCACAATGACCTAATGCAGAACCCAGCAGCTTGGAGCAGAAAAGTGAAAGGACTATGCGTTAATCCAGGCAATCATTTCTGCCCAGAGGGGAAAGGGTGTTGCTCCCTTCCGCCCTCCTCCCTCTGGAAAGAAAGATGGCGGCCACATGGGAGCCTTGTGGACAGCAGGTATGAGCCGGGGGTGTGGGGGCGACTAAAACCTCATGGGAAGGGGGGCGTTCTGGTCCGTCCTTCACGCCCTACCGAGGTCACCAGTTGCCCCCCACGAGCGGCTCTCCAGCACGGCCACGGCCCCAGAAGCACAAGGACTTAATGCAGAACCCAGCAGCTTGGAGCAGAAAAGTGAACGGACTATGCATTGATCCAGGCCATCAAGTCTGCCGGAGGGGAAAGGGTGTTGCCCCATTCGCCCTCTCCTTTCTGGAAAGAAAGATGGCGGCCACATGGGAGCCTTGTGGACAGCAGGTATGAGCCGGGAGTGTGGGGGCGACTAAAACCTCATGGGAAGGGGGGCGTTTCGCTCCGCCCTTCACGCCCTACCGAGGCCACCGGTTGCCCCCCGCGAGCGGCTCTCCAGCACGGCCAGGACTCCAGAACACAGAAACCAATTTCTTAACTATCTGACTTTCAGTAGAAATACTTCCAGGGTCAATAGGTAAAAGAGCAGAAATCCAAAACCAACATTTAATTCTTGAACCCAGCCGTAGAAAGCAAATCACTTCACAATGCTTTTTCAGCATGTCTGATTTGGGGGGGGGGGGGTAAACTCTAAATAATAGTGGTGAATCTTTTATTGAAACAATGAATCTAATCAAAGCAGATAGAGTGTTAACTAGAATTCATCTGCCTCACAGGGACGGGGAGGGGTGGGGGGTGGGGTTTTATTGGGGTTCTTCATGGTAAAAAATAAGTATTGGTAAAGGGAAATGTGTTTGATATTTGCATGACTGAGACATAAACCTGAAAGCTTTGTAACCTTTCCCACAGTGATTCAATAAATAAAAAAAAAAAAAAAAAAAAGACAGCATACAAAAGGCTAAAATACTGGAACTGGTAATAGAGTCTATTACCATGTACCTAGTCTTTAATTGAAGAAGACAAAAAAATTTTATTAATAATTAAAAACTAAAAAAACAAAGCAACAATGAGGAAGTGTATGCCACCCTTCTCATCCTCAGACTCCCAACAAACACATGCATGGCCAAGAAAAAGCTTCAGAGATGCCTGTGGATTTCATATTCTTAGCATGAAAATTCTTGTTTCTCTCGCTTCACTTTGTTTCCAAAATAAAACCAAACCAAAAAAGTGCATTACATAAACTAAGAACTAAAGATAATATTCAAACAGAAAGGATTAGTTTTTATATGCATATGGCACCAACAGTTCATAGTTAAGAATAGTGAAACCAGAGCCCTCTCCCACAGTAAGCTCGGCTGTGCTTATTTCAAAGCAGAATGAGCTTTTCATCTACACTTTTCTCATCTACATTTTCCTGATGTTTCAATACCATCTTCAAGACAAAAGAAGAAATGCAGAGTACATGTTTTTCTCATCTACATTTTCCTGATGTTTCAATACCATCTTCAAGACAAAAGAAGAAATGCAGAGTACATGTTTTGTATCGGGAGTGCTCATAACTAGAACCTCTGTGGTTTGCCTCCTTGTCTCTCTCAGTGATGGAATCTTCAACAGTATAGGCTTGAACAATGCTGGAAATACTCGATTGAAAATGATTTGTAAGACAAGTAAAGAGAGCAGTAACATGCTATTTACTAGACAGTAAAAAATAAAAACATTAGATCTTAGCTGTATTCTAGGAAAGCACCTGGATATCCATTTTTGTCTATGTCTGTGGCTCCTTTCATTGAATAACCAAAGCTTGGGGGCATGCTCCGAGCTGCCCACTTCCCTTCAAGGATCTGAGATGGTACTGCATTCAGGCCTGTTGACCTTCCATTGAAAATATAAACAATTCCTTTTTTATCTTCACCTCCATAAGGGGCAGCAATGGCAATATCTGGGTGCAAAAAGGGGCAGAGAAGATGAAAAAAGAATTAGGAGAAGGAAGACAAGGAGAATGTGAGGCAGACAAAAATAGAGAGAAATAATATCATTATTATTTATATGGACACGATCTAAATATTACAGAATACTTTTATCACAATGAATACTGATTTAGCATCCAGGAGCCAACCATCCTCAAAACAATCTAATCAAGGAAATTCAAGCAGGACTGGTTCCAAGTGACACGGTGCAGAGCCAAAGTTTCAGGTCCTAAGTAAGTCACTTGGGCTAATTCTGCCCTCATAAGCCACCTCCTTAAATCAAAGGGAAGGGAGGATGTCAAAAGTCTCATCTAAGACTTCATTCTAGGGATTGGAGTGAAAACCCAGCAGGTAGGGCGTTTGCCTTGCACATGGCTGACCCGGGTTCTATTCCCAGCATCCCATATGGTCCCCTGAGCATTGCCAGGAGTAATTCCTGAGTGCAAAGCCAGGAATAACCCCTGTGCATCACTGGATGTGACCCAAAAGCCAAAAAAAAAAAAATCATTCTAGCTCTCCACATTCTACTTAATTTATTTGGTTTTGCCAGGGCAGAAACAACCTGGCTCAGAAATTTAAAACTTAGAACTTCAGGCCTAAAGTAAAAGAGCAAACATCTGAGTGTATGTCTCGCATGTGGGAGACCTGGGTCCCAGACCTAGTAGCACATGTCTCCTGGCCTCCTGCCACAAAAACTATAGGGAGTGACTCCATATCCAGCAGAGTTGGGTGTGGTCCCTAGTACCACCGGGTGACCCCCCACCCCACCAAAAAAATTAACAAGTAAAAGTTATGACTTCATCTCAATATTTGTTTCCCCTATTTTATTTATTTAATATTGAATCACTGTGAGATACAGTTATAAAGGTGTTTATTGTTGGGTCTCAGTCACACAATGTTCCTACACTCATCCCTCCAGCAATATACATTTCCCATGACCAATGTTCTCAGTTTCCCTCCCACCATTGCATTCACCCTCACTTCCACCTCTGCCTCTATGGCAGGGACTTTTCTTCCTCTCTCTCTCTCTCTCTCTCCCCCTCTCCTTTTGAGAATTATGGTTTGCAATAAAGATACTGAGCTTCATCTCAATCTTGCTCAACTAAACAAGTGTGACAATCTTAAAAAAAAAAATGGGCTGGAGCAGTAGCACAGCAGGTAGGGTGTTTGCCTTGCAAGCAGCCGACCTGGGTTCGATTCCCAGCATCCCATATGGTCCCCCGAGCACCACCAGGAGTGATTCCTGAGTACAGAGCCAGGAGTAACCCCTGTGAATCACTGGGTGTGACCCAAAAAGCAAAAAAACCCCACAAAACCAAAAAAAAACCAAAACCATCAGTAACTGATCTCCTCTAACTCTAAAAGAAATAATGTCCTTTTCTCTCTCTTCCGCACCCCCCCCCCCCCCCGCCCCGTGTGTGTGTGTGTGTGTGTGTGTGTGTGTTTACCACCCTAGGTAAGTCACTCTTACCTTTGGCCTCATGTCTTAAAGTAACTTGAGTCCTTCTACTTCTATTTTACCTGAAGTCTATTTTCCTCAAAACTGGCAACTGTTTCTCTTCTTGTGTCACCCTTCTTAGAATCTTACAATAACTTCCCAAAGAGATAGCACAGCGGTAGGGCGTTTGCCTTGCACGCAGCCAATATGGCCAACCCGAGTTCGATTCCTCCGCCCCTCTCGGAGAGCCCGGCAAGCTACTGAGAGTATCTCGCCCGCACGGCAGAGCCTGGCAAGCTACCCGTGACGTATTGGATATACCAAACACAGTAACAAGTCTCACAATGGAGACGTTACTGGGCCCGCTCGAGCAAATCGATGAACAATGGGAGGACCATGATCACCGTGATCAACTTTGCAAAGTAACCATTTCCTATCTGGGGTCTCCATATCACCCTTTCACCCCCCAATTCTCACCTCCACTCACTCTTCTAACCAGGCCTTTTGTTCTAACGCTTAACTACCAAGTAAGCTAGTTTCCATCTCTTGGCTTAATTCTCTGCATTACTGGCTTTTGCTCCAGAGACTGTCAAGCATTGCTCCATCTGTTTGTCCAAATCACAGATCAAATAGCCACTTCCCAGAGTGTTTTCTGGGCCAGGTGATGAAAACATGCACTCTCTCCTTAGCACATACTTGCTAGGAAGCCACTCTCTGGCATGTTACCCTGCTTCCTTCTCATTTTAGCCCACAGCTTTCAGCACTGTCAGAACTTCTCCACTACTTGTTTGCTCAAAGGCCCCTTAACAACACCAGAGTTTACTGAGCATGTCCACACTGTCAGTTCATTTCAAATGGTCTGACTTAACAGATCGAAACTGCTTTAAGGTCTTTAAGGACACAGCATCTACGATATCAACAGCACCTTGATCACACATTTTTTACATAGAGTATTATGCTCAAGAATATCAAGAATACTGCAGTGATTATATGCTAGTGTTTCATTTATATGAAAGTTGCTCCTACAGAATTCTGAGTTCCCTAAGGACAAGGACATGGAAGTACTCTAAAATAGTCTCTCATTTTGGACTCCTACTTTATTTCATTTCATAATAAATTAAACCCTATTTGTAAAACCAGCACAACTAAAAAAACAAAATAGCAACTTCACGTAATGGTAATGGTAACTTCATATAATGGCAACACCCATGTTTTTATTTTAAAATTCAGCATAAAATCTGCAATGATCATGCAGTAATTAGTATGTAGTTATGTAGTAATTATAATTACGATGTACAAGGTTTGACCTACAGTAAGTCTGAGATTGCTTCAAACTTTTTAAAATAAACATATAACTTACGTATGAATCTTATTTTTTTTTTTAGTTTCACATCATAAACTTGGACTCCGTGCTAGGCTGTGGCACAGGTGAGAGCCCTCCCCACCCCAAAGGACCCACCCCCAGCAGCCGACCTCCATTACCTAACCACCACCATGCTCCAGGCCGCTTTCCGGACTGAGCAGCTGCAAAATGGCCTCGAGACACATTATAAGACACTTCCTACCCATTTATGCCTCTTGCAGAGCCCAACAAGCTACCAAAAATATCCCGCCCACATGGGCAGAGTCTGGCAAGCTCCCCGTGGCATATTCGATATGCCAAATACAGTAACGACAATAGATCTCCTTCCCCTAACCCTGAAAGAGCCTCAAATCATTGGGAAAGACTAGCAAGAAAAGGCTGCTAAAATCTCGGGGCTGGAAGGAATAGAAATGTTACTGGCGCCTGCTCAAGTAAATTGAAGATCAATGGGATGATAGTGATACAGTGAAATCATAAACTTAAGATTAAACTGACATGTGCAATTTAAGAAGTCTTCATTAAAATATAATTTTCTAACCGAAGACAGATCTAGTACTGAGTAGCCATCTAATAAAGATTATCTTTGGCCTTCCTAAACCCTTTCTTATTTTATACATTCTAATCTTCTTTTCACTTGACTGCCATCAACCTTGTCTAGAAGATTTTACTTTTTCATCCGTTTTCCCCACTAATTTCTTCTTTTGATCATGTTAGTTGTTTTTCTGTGATTTGTTCCATGCTGCTTTCTTTTCTGGAAAGGTACTGAGTTCCCATTTTTATAGGAGGTATTGACAAAAACAGCATCTAACTGAAATATAGCCTCATTTATTTTGGTTTCTATAATCCTTTAGAGGTTGTCCAAGTTTTTCCTAGTGATTTTGTATGTAAAAAGAGGAATATAGGAGCAATAGAATAGCAAAAACTAAATGTCAACAGGTAGGAATAAAAATGATATTGGGAAAAAAATGATCATGGTTGTAAATAATAACAGCTGATTAAATCATTTATGAACTATATATAGATATAAGTAATGTGCATGTATACACATATATAAACTATACTATATATCAGTTACATTCATTTCAGATAATTTTCCACTACAGACACTGTCATTAACATGGGAGATCAAATCATCCCTGGAGCACTATCAGCAGTGATCCCTGAGCACTAAGCCAGAAGTACACCCTGAGTATTGCCTGTTGTTACCTAATACCTGATCTCCCCCCAAAAGAGAAATCTTGGTAGGTTATAACCTACAATTCATTCTCCAACTTGGCTTTTATAAAGCTATCTGTAGCACTGTACTCCCATTGTTCATCGATTTGCTAGACTGGACACCAGTAATGTCTCCATTGTGAGACTTGTTCTTACTGTTTTTGGCATGTCGAATATGCCACGGGGAAATTGCCAGGCTCTGCTGTGCGGCAGGATACTCTTGGTAGCTTGCCATGCTCTCTGAGAGGGACGGAGGAATCAAACCCAGGTCAGCCACATGCAAGGCAAACGCCCTACCCACTGTGCTATATATCTATCTAGCTAGCTAGCTATCAGTATTAAATTCTTAAGTAGAGCTATTATTTAAAAATGAACGTGAGCCTTGACATGAAACACCCTCCAAAAGAATATTTTACAGACATAAGAGAGCCCGGCAAGCTACCGAGAGTATTGATATGCCAAACACAGTAACAACAAAGTCTCCAATGGAGACGTTACTGGGCCCGATCGAGCAAATCGACGATCAATGGGAGGGCCTTTACCTTTACCTTACCTTTAACAAAGTGATAACTTGAAAAGCACTAATGGCAAATCCAATCTTTGAGGTATTCATGAACTTCAGCACTACCTTAAATTAATGTCACTGGCTGGAAACATTTTTGACACATGTACCTAAGTGGACAGCAGAGGGCACTGCTGCTAAACAGAACAGAAAATCCCCAGCAGAAACAGGGCCCTAGAAAAGCATTCTCTTTTTAGAAATTGAAGCACTCCAATACTACTTTGGGACCACATGGATTGAAATGTCGCTCAATCATTCTTTCCAGGAAGGAGGGGCTCTCATGTAAATTTATACGATGAGGTTATAGCATTTTTCCAAGTGAACACAAAAAAATCAGACCCATCGTGGCTGAACTTTGGTCTTACCGTTGAAACCGTCCTGGTCCAGGTCTCCCAAAGGTGCGATGGCACTGCCGAACCTTGCAAAGATCTCAAAGCCATTTAGCTTGGTGGTCTGAAAGTCTCCTGAAGCTCTCTGCAAAGATACTGAGACCTGCCCCACCTCTTGGAGTTTGCCATCAGAACCTCGATCCATAAAAAGAGGGGCTCCAATAAACACGTCGGCATAGCTAAAAGAACAAAAACATTTTCACCAAAACAAGATCAAATTCCACCTTACTTTGACAATCATTTCTTTTCCAACAAAAACCATAGCTTCCTTCTTTCTACAACTCTCACTGGCATATGGAAACATTCATATTCAAGACTTCCTTTTAAGAAATTGTAGTTATGTGGGATATAGAGAAGCAAAGCATGAAACAAACAAAACCAGAGGGGAATAGAGAAAGGGTAGGGACCAATAAAAATATTTTAGAAGGCTATTGGTACTTTGGTGTCACTGTCCTCCCATTGTTCATCGATTTGCTCGAGTGGGCCCAGTAACACTGTGAGACTTGTTACTGTGTTTGGCATATCAAATACATAATGGGGAGCTTGCCAGGCTTTGCCGTGTGGGCGAGATACTCTCAGTAGCTTGCCAGGCTCTCTGAGAAGGGCAGAGGAATTGAACTCGGGTTGGCCATGTCAGCCGCATGTAAGGCAAATGTGCTACCCTGCTGTTTTATCGCTCCAGCCCAATGGTGTGAAATTACAGCTCTAAACATTAGCAAACTATTGGGGCAGGAGTGTTAGCACAGCTGGTAGGGCGTTTGCCTTGCACACGGCCGACCCAGGTTCGATTCCCAGCATCCCATATGGTCTCCTGAGCACTGCCAGGAGTAATTCCTGAGTGCAGAGCCAGGAGTAACCCCTGTGCATCGCCAGGTGTGACCCAAAAAGAAAAAAAAAGAAGCCATTAGCAAACTATCAATTTAAAAGCAAATGAGGCATATAAAGTTTTTTAAAACTCTGTAATTACTTTATTCCTTCAAATGATAATAAACTATTAATGAAACTGTGACCAATACAGGTCTCATAACAAGGTTCTTTGAAACTGGCTCTTTAAATTAAATCATTAGGGAAAAAAGAGACGAGAAAAATGTTTAGCAAAGCATTCATAAACATGAGAAAAAAAAGTAAGCACATTTCTTAAAACTTACTTATCCCCATTTATGTCAGTGGCAGCAACAGAAAATCCAAAATATGCAGCCATCTGGATAACAAGAAGAAAAAGAAATGTTTACATTTCATCCAACTAATATGGACAAAATTAATACTTATAGTGTACTTATGAAATGACATGGTTTTTCTTCCATTCAACAGATAGTCCTTCAGCCTAATTTCTTTTCTTTTATCAAAAAAAAAAGCCTTTGGGGGTGGTGTGCCACTCCCAGCGTTGCTTAGAGAACCATGTGGTGCTATGGATGGAAGCCATGGTTCCCGCACACAAAGCATGAGCTCCATCCTTTGAGTAATCTCCCAGGACCTCCTCTCTTATTACTCTACCAATAAAATCAGGTCATATCACTTGTTTATTATCATAAGTTTATGAGCAAAATATATCCCTTGCACATCACGCTCTATGACTTTAGCATGTGTCACATAGATCCAAGTATATCCAACATTCCTTCCCTAGCAAACCTATTATTTTCCTTCCTCTCCACGACTCAAAACAGCAGATATAGACACATGATGAAAAAGACAATCACATATGGATGACCCCCTGAAATTTTAAGTTGGCTCCTATGCAGTAAAGAAGAGAAAATAAGTATTAAATATTGTTCAAAACTGGTTCTCCCTACTGCTGCTAAGGTTGCTGCTGCTATTACTTTACTACAGTTCCCTTGGGACTGCTACTACTAGTATAACAACTACTTCATTGCTGCTGTTGCTACCACTACTATCATTATTACCACAAGTACTACTACTATTGTTAACTGCCACTGCTACTGCTACTGCTGCTGCTGCTGCTACCTCTACTACTATTACTACTACTACTACTCTTTCTGCTATTCTGTTACTACTGCTACTACTCTAAAAAACTTCAATTTGGAAAGTTATGAAATCAAATTCATTTACACCTCCCATCTCAGCTAGTCAGGAGTTTCACTTTTGAACAACAGAGCACAAATATGATTGGTTAATATGTCTTCATATGAGGAAGGAGAAGGAAAATCTGCTCCCCACACGGAAGACTACTGGCCATCACAGAACATCCCAGTCTGGCTGGGAGTAAGTTTTAAAGAAAATCCCATACAAAAAAACAAAACTAGGATGACAGACTAAAGGTGAACTAAAATGAAGTATGAGTCAACAAACCAAAAATAAAAGTTAGCAAAGCATCAAAAGTTTGATTAGTTAAGCTATCAGGAGGGAATGATAAGGGAGATCCCAATTATCTTTTTTTGGTTGCTACAGTGTAATAGTGAAAACAAAAGGTACGCTATGATCCAATTTTAACCTCAGATCATGGATAGCAAAGGGTATTCATTACATTTAAGGTACCAGGCTGACTGGTTTGAAAGTATAAAGGATGACATTCACTGAGACTAGTTTTATCCTGAGTCCTTTCAACAAAATGCTTTCATCAGATTCTCTCCACACCCCCAGGATTCCATTTTTATCAACCAACAACTGGATTCATAGCGCTAATTGCCTTGACCAAAGAAGTAAGACTTGGTATGGAAAGTCTAGGTTTGTCATCATCAAAGCTCACATTGCTCCTATCTTCCAAGAGGTTAAAGAGGAACAAAGAATGAATCATGGACGGCACAGGACATGATCTAGAGACACAGGTGTGTGTGTCAGGAGAGAATGCTTGCGAGAAGAAATCTTCAGGGCACAAGAGGTAACCCTGCCTGCCTAAATACTAAGCGCCTGTGCTCTATAGGACTTTCTGCTCTTCCACACTGATGGAAACAGGCTGCAGGCATCTTGACTGTAGCTCTTTGTCCTCTCAACCCTCTTGCCTAGCTCAGCAATCTCTACTGAACGGGATGAGTGCTGGATCCCAGAGCTGCAAACTCGGAGCTACTTACTGACGGTTTTTCTTTATTCTTACTAACTTCACTCAATACAATACAGAATGTTATAAAATGCAAGGATTCATGAAGAATATCAACATCTACATGTACTACCCTCCATTAAAAAGTTGGATTTCACATTGTACAAATAAAGCTTATTTACAAATCTGCAGTTTTGTACTAACAGTACTAATTTTCTGGTCTTGTTTAATGACTATGATTCATGTTGGGGAGATAGCTCAAGAGAACATACACACGCATGCCCGAGAACCCATGTTTGGTCCCTGGTACCATGTGCCCACCCCCACCGTCCAGTGTCTTAGGTGGCCCCAAAGTGGCCCTGGTAGACCCCATACTTTTTGGGTCTGAGAATCACTGTGTTCACTATACCCTAGCAGTGAACTTTCCAGCCTAGTTGCCTGAGTATGACTGGATACCAAAGAAAAATAAAGCACTTAAGAGTTTTGTGTCTGTGAAATTTGGTCATGATTTATCAAAAATAAACCATCATATGTAATTAGAAAAGATTATACCTAAATAAAATACTTTGATTAAAACAAAGGTCAACTATTTAAAGCTTGTTTATATATATTTATTTTTTGTTTATATATATTTATTTAATATTTAACACTAAATCAGTATTTATCGTAAAACATTTCTAATGAAAAGTTTCAACATTTACAAAATGCGGATATTAGAATATTAGTAAAAATATTTTTAAAGCATACCTGCTCACCAGTAAAATTGTGTAAAGAAGACATGTTTTTCCCATCATAAATATAAACCTATGCAAGAAAAATAAAGTATATAAAATGCAGTAAAATTAAGATAACCCAGATATGTTTAAAAATTACTTAAATTTTAAACATTTAAATAAAAATTAAAATTTTAACTTTCATACCATTCCCAAAGTTCTTGCTGCTCTTGGAACTCCTGAGACAAAGTCTAAATAAAAACAAACAAAAATATGTGATTGCTCACTTTTAAGATCAATAGTGAAAATTTCAGGAAATGGAAATTTTGCCAAAGTTCTATTTTACTATTAAATATAAAATAAATGGATTAAAAAAATTGACATTCCATGATAAATGACTTTAACATTTTTTAACCACATAATCAAATCTTAACAAAATATAAAGAGTCACAAAGACCCTCAAATAAGCCCAGAGAGAGTACAAGGGTAAGGTCCTTGCCCTGCATGCCACCCCAGTTCAATCTCTGGCATCTTATAACTTCCAAGCACCACTGGACCTGACCCCAACACAGGGTCAAGAGTAGACCCTGTGCATCACTGGGAGGTGACTCAAACCTGTCTTGCCCCCTAAAGACCCTCATATAAAGGCTCACATTCACTCAAGGTATTTATTTATAGTCTTGTTAAAAAGAAAACATGATGAAGTGACCTAAGAATGAAGAAAAGATGGATTTCCAGGGCTGGGGACTTAGCCCCAAAGGATAATATCTATACTTTGCCCGTGGAAGGCCTGATTTGATCCCTGGCATTGCATGGTCACCTGAGCACCACCAGAAGATATCTCTAAGCAACATGCCAAGAGCACCCCTAGTGTGACTCAAACACCCAAAGACAAGGAAAAAGATGTTTCTATTGCTGAAAAATAACCTCAGATAAACTGAAATATGGTAGAGGGGGCAGCAGCAAGAGACATGAGCAAAAACAGGTGAACACAATGACGCATAGATTGAAATTTGAAGGAAGACAAAGAAAGGATGGCCTAACAAAGTGGGGTTACAAATTATGCTAGAGAAAGAAGAAATGTAGTCCTTTCATGAGAACTGAACCTAATGGCAACAGGAAGGAAGTGGCTGAGAAACAAGCAGAAGTGTGCGAAGGGGTGGGGCATGGGGGGTGGGAAAGAGCAGAAAGGGAAGAGACAGGGTCAAGGTCGGAGGAGGAAGAGAGGCAGAGCCTCTATCCTTCATGTGGGAACATTGCTCTCATTTTTCTGATTGTGTTCCTTAATGACGGTTCTAAGACTCTTACACCCTAATCCATTTTAATGCCTGTTTCAAATGCTTAGCCTCAAATATTTTTCAAAGAATAATACATAATTCTAGTACATCATACCATCTATGCCGTCACCATTGAAATCTCCAACAGCCACTGAGTAACCTAAACAGGGAAGCAAAGGAGAAAGACCTTCAGATTTTGAGCGCACTCACTAGCTCAGGGACCCTTGGAACTATTTTCAAGTAATGTCTCTTCATTATATGTTATGCTGTGTAGGGGCAACAGTCACACACATATAAATGCACCTTAAAGGTCTTAAAGGAAATAACTCATTTACAGACTCAAATAGTATATTTCCATTATAAGAAGGAAAATAATATCATTGTATTAGCTATTTAGGAGTCAGTCTAAAAGGGTAAAATTTCAGTCCACTATAATGGGGAAACGGGACACATTCACTCATCTGCTTTTTCTGTCATCTTGATGTGGTGAATAATTTAAAAAGAAAGACTAAAGATGAATAAATCCTAAATCCTCAAACTGAATTTAACAGAACAAAGTTCATGAGTCAGAGGATTGCCTGGGTTTGAATTTCAGAACAGCAAGTTGTGAGTATTTCTAGGCAACTTATTTTGCCACTCTGTGCCTCAGTCTTTTTATGTACAAATTGCACTTTCATTAATGAAATTAATTAATTCTTTACACACAGGCACTTAAAACAATGCCCAGAACAGAGTAACCATATCTTAAAGGCTGTTAATCATCACATCAAATTTCCATTACTGCAAGACACACAACCTATGTTATCAACAATTTTGAAATCTTATGGTATGCTCCTTTTTTAAGAAAAGAGTCATTTTCACAATTAAGTTTCCTCCTTACAGCAGCAAAAGCAAAAACAGAAAAATACATACCACGACATCATAAAACAAATTGGTATTTTGGCGTTACCTACCCAAATAACTGTCATCAAAAATAGCTTGTGCAGTTCGAGTTGCTAACTGATTATTATACTTGATGCTGTAAACTTTGGGATCATATTTCGATACAATTTCTGCTACTTGATCCGAAATGAGCTGGCCTGAAATATATACGATAAAAAAAATATTAAGGATAGGGAATTTCTCAGTTCACTAAGAAATTCAACGAAAAATAAAATAAGAAAATTTCACAAGAAAGTTCAATAAAACTTAGAAATAAAAATTCCTGCACCAGAGTGGTAGTCCAACAGACTGAGCACACATTTTGCATGTCAGAGGCTCCAGAGCAATCCTGAGCATTGTATTGCAGGGAGTGACCCCCAGCACCACTGGGTGTGGCACCCCTTTCTCCTAAAATACTAACCTTAATGAAATATTTGTTATCTTTATAATCAGTATAATTGTTTAAACTTGCTTGTTTATATGTGTTATTTCAATATCCTTATTCAGCAGCCTGAACAAGTTAATTTATAACCTTAAGAGGCAGAGAAGAAAACCTAAATGACTACAGAAAATGTAGACTTGTCCCAGCCCCAAGAAAACAGAGCTCTCAAATGCCATCTGCAAAATATGGGGAAAACAATCTTCACTTCTGCTGTTCTGCAAAGAAATTCATAAGCACCAAAGTTCTCCTTAATGTTGTAATGTGTCCAGTCATGCAGGTTTAGTCTGTAAAGGAGAAACACTTTCTCTCTGGGACACACTTTTATTCTCTATGACTAAAACTATATCTAACATATAGGAAGAATGCAACAAGAATAGGGAAATTCATCATCTCATTAGAATAAAACAATTGGAAGTGCCTGTCATAAAGGCAAGGGATGGGGTGAGGGTAGCAAGAGGGATACTGGGGAAATTGGTGGTGGCAAATGTACACTGGTGGAGGGATGGGTGTCTAATCATTGTATGAGTGAAACACAATACTCATATTTATAACTGTATCTCATGGTAATTCAATAATAATAATAATAATAATAATCAAATCATAATATGCCAGGAAAAACCAATTGATTATCAGTTACATATTTTGGAGCTATAATAAAATTCCAAAGACTAGCATAGCATCTGTATCAGTCCTCATTTATATACTAACTAGAAATGCATACAGATATTGCCTACCATTCAAGGTATTAAAATAAAAAATCATCGAAAATATTCACGGCTATGTCTCAGTTAAATATTTTTAGAAAAAGTAATAAACTTTATACTACTTATAATATATACTTATTACATATATATTACATATATCATGTAATCATCCTTTATAAGCAAAATGTACTGTTTATATACTTAAATACTATTTTTTCATATTTTCTTTAAAATACTCAAAAATTTTTGTAGATTATATCTCAGACTCACCTGACTCACCGGTGAGTCTGAGATATAATCATCCTTGGTAATTTAAAATCTATTAACCTACAAAAGAATCTCTGAGCTGAGCAGCTTGCTGCAGAGCTGTCTCTAGACTTTAAGCCAGGCTGACTTCACCAAGGTGCCTCAGACAGGAGCAGGCATCCCTCAACCTGCCCCCTAAGAACCCCAGCAGCCACCAACTTCCAGAAACCAATGAGAAGTGCTGGTATGCAGGTACAGTGACAGAAAACTCCAGCCCTCAAGGGATAGGGGATGAGCTGATCCTCTTCATGCCCCCAACCCCATGGAACCCTGGAGGTCACACCAACAAACTGCCTCAGACTGCTATTTAAGCTCTTTAATGGCCATGATCCAGAGACACACAAAAGAATCTCCAAATCAAGCAGCTTGCTGCAGAGATTTCTCCAGACCCTAATTATCTAAAATTTTAGAATTTCAGGAGCACGCGGATGCTCTTGTGGCCACACAACATCATCTTATGTTACTCATAACAAGCACTTCAAAAGAGAGTATGGGAAAGATTGTCTGCTATTGAGGTAGAGGGGGGATGGGTGTGCGGGGGCTACTGAGGACATTGGTGGTGGAAGATGTGCACTGGTGGAGGGTTGGGTGTTAGATTATTGTATGACTGAAACTCGAACATGAAACCTTTGTAGCTATCTCATGATGATTCAATAATAAGATCTATTGACCTACCTTGCCAATAAAAGCTACCAGGACCACCAAGAAGTACTCTGTCAGCCTAGAGTGGGTAAAACCACAAAAAGGTATATATTTAAATATAGATAGCTTTAAAATAGAAAGCAATGCAACAATATGTAAAAGACAGAATGTTATACATATATTTTAATGCAAGCAAAATTAGACACCTCAAGCTCACATCTCAGTTTTATGATACCTTTAAAAAAATACAATAAGAGGGTTAGAGTAATAGTATAGTAGGTAGGGCTGTTGCCTCCAACTTAGTCAACCCAAATTTCCTGGCATCCCACATGGTATTTTGAGCTCTATTAGTAGCAATTCCTGAGTGCAGAGCCAGGAGTAACCTCCGAGCATTTCTGAGTGTGGCCCCAAAACAACCAACAAAAAATTACAATTTAGAAAAAAATTTTAAGTTAAAATATATTCATTTATTTATTAAATTTTGTTTGGCTTGGTTAGTTACTAAGAGGGGCACAGCTGTGCTCAAAGCTTACTCTTCTCAGGGGACTGTATGGGGTGCTGGGGATTGAGCCAGGGTCAGACCGACAAGGCAAACACCTTATCTGCTATACTATCACTCTGGCCCTGACATGCATTCAACATATAAAAATAGTCAAACATATACATATTTAGTCCTCCTCTTAAGGGTCTTGGCTGCTTCATATACTTCACATGAAATAGTACTGCAAAGTATAACTGAACTACAATAAGAACGAAAGGTGACTACTAAGTTTTGTATTTCAGTTTCTGACTACATAAGGAAGATCTTTCCAGTAATCACAAAGGAATTTCTGCTAAGGGAAAACTTTTAAAAATACCTCATAGATGTAAATGGTATTCCTAAAAGTTAGTTGCCGAATCTTTCAACTATATTATAGAAATAAGAAAAAACTCTACCACTTGACTAGCATTTCTTATATTTTCAATGAACTATAAATTCAAGGTATTCAATACTGGGTATATCTTATTTCTTCTTGTTGGAGATCAGAGAAGAAGTTCACTCCTACAAATGTACATAAAGCCTGTTGCAGGCTTTCACCCAGCAATTTCCTGCTCTGGTAATAAAGGAGGTACTTCTAAGTTACCTTCTTTTAAATAAGTGTTGTTTTCTGAAATGTGAATAGAAAGTGAATGGGATTGGGAATGCAGCTCAATGGCAGAGCACATAACTTGAAGGTGAAAACCACGGGTTTGATCTTTGACATGGGAAAGAAAAAAAAAGAAAGAAAAAGAGCATACAGTTCATTTATCATTGACTTCGATTTGGGACAGTCATTAAACAAGCATGTACAGAGAAAACATGAATGCTTTTATTAAAAAAAAACCTGATGAAAATATACAATTGGAATTTAAAGTTAATATTTATTACCATACAATTATTTCTCTTTGCTTTACTTCCTTAAATTTTGAATATAAGTAATGTAACATCAAAAAATTATGTGAAGTAAGACTGCTCTTAGGAAAGAGTCAGGTATTCTAGAAAAATTTATTTGAATAAAATAAAGATAAAACATATTTAAAAATAATAAAATGAGGGTCTGAGAGATAGCACAGTTGATAGAGCATTGCCTTGCATGTGGTTGAACACAGTTCAATCTCCAACATCCCACTTTGTCCCAAGACACCTGCTAGAAGAGATTCCTGAACACAGAGCCTGGAGTAAGCCCTGAGTATCACTAGATGTGGTCCAAAAGTCAAAAAGTAAAATAGAAGAGTAAGAAAATGATTTATGGGTTTTGTTTTGTCTTTGCATCATAACTATAACATTTTGTTGTCTTCATGAATTCAGGGCTTTTGCACTAATATTTTCTAAGTAATAGATGTTAAGCTTTCTAAAGAATGTCTAATTTCAATCAGTATTTTTGAGCTTCTCTAGGAAGATTATCAACTTAATAAACTATTTATGTACTCTACAAAAATCTGTAAAGAATAATTATGGTTCAACAAAATTTGCACTTGAAATTATAAACAAGATTATTATTTTAGAGAACTAGATCAAAAACTGTCAAAGAGCATTAAAAACACCTAAAAGAGCCTATTTGTTTAGCTGAAAATAGAACCCTGCATGAGACTGCTTATAATCATTAAATCACTTCAGCTTCATTTGGTGCCTGTAGGCACATAATAGATAGCATATATATATATATATATATATATATATATACACACACACACATATATATACACATACATGTGCCTCAGCTTTTATAAACTAAACTCTAGTTTTGTAATAAAGTTCCCACTGATAGCTTCTGTAAAAAAATCAATTTCAATCATATATATGAAACTTTAAGTTAGACTATAAATCAAACTAAACATTTAAATATTAAATAATTCTTATTTATTCTATTCTGAAAGTCTCTATCCTCAGCTATTCCTGTTTTGATATCTCTTTAAAACGGCAATGAATAAATATGGCAAAGAATGTGAAAATATACAAGTTATTTTTATCATTTGTTCTCTTAAAAAAGACAATAGTTATAGAGAAACTCAAGTAAGGACCAATTTGTTTTAAACCATGGTTTAGACACAAGGTAAATCTGAATCTCATTCAATCTTAAATGAGAACTTACTTTAGTAAAATCAATGCTGAATCCTCCTTGACAAAATCCCTGTCCATCAGCATCAATATTTTCTAAAATAAAAAGATTGGAAATATACACAAACCCCAAAACAAATAAATAACATAAAACAAAACATAAGAAAAAGCTGGTATCACGTAATTATAAGAAACTAATTTCTGGAAGTGTTTAACCACTTGGGCACTTAATTAGTTATTACCATATTCTAAAAGAGTTAGTGTGCATTTATCAGTACCAATTTCTTAGTGAGAAAAACAAAAATAGATTAAAATATCTGGACAAGTTACCAAAGGAAAAAAAAATCACCTAAGATAAAAAATTCTAAATTTGCTATTTCTAACCACAATTCAAATACAATTTAATATCATAGCCGGCACAAGCCAAATAAATATATTATGTATATATAATAAATTATAAAATATCACTATCATTATATAAAGTGTACTGACATATTCAATTTCTTTCCATCACTAACTTCATAAGACAGTGACAAATTGTTCTTCATATGTTCAAAAGTCAATATACAAAATTTCTATTTCTTACTATTATTACCATACAGTTGCTGGGTCTAATTTATAACAACGAACAAAAAGAAACATACAGTCCTAATATATACATCTTCTACACATGCCTTTTTTTTTTTGCTAACAGCAAAATATGCATAAAAAATACTGTTCAGAAATGCAGATGTTCTGGGAAGAACAAAATATAAAACTATCCACATAATATATTTAGTGCTGGGTGTAATAAAACTGTGTGTCTTTAAACATGATACTTTCAAGTACTTTTCAAATAATAGATTCCACAGTTTTACTCTTCTGCAATCACCACCTCCCCTCTACCACTTTTGTTTGTAGTTTCCACAAATGTAGATGGTTTCTGGGCAATTAGTTAAATAATTTCAATTAACTTTAATCCTGCATCTTGTCTATAATAGAGAAAAAAATGAACTGGGAGCCTCTCCATTGCTTAAAGAGTAACAAGGAAAAATTAAAAAATGATACTTAATTTATCAAGAAATTGGTGGAATCAATTTTATAATATATAAACACTGCTACAACATCACTTTATTTACCATTCAAATATAGGAACCAAAAATATCTACTTACAGTCCTAAGAACAACTTCCAAGAATTTTTGTCAAATCCTCCCATCAAAAATTTTGAACCCATTTAAAAAAACCTGGGAACTACCGAGATTAAACACATACTATCTAAATTTAGAATATTTTAAGAAAATATTCTCAAGAGTGTAATCCTACCCTAATGTAAATTTTTCTAACCAAGAAAGAATGAGAAAATGTAGGGTTGGGGTTTCCAGAGTCTAGTGAATCAGACTAAGGAATTCTGGTCTAACCTCAGGCCAGAATTTATTTCCTTTCTTCAAGATGCATGGGGGAAACAATTTTAGGCTATTTATAAAGGCATCTTTAAAAATTTCTTTTCATATTGTACAATTACCTGCTTTATTTGGCTTCCCAGAATGTCTAAGTAGAAAACATGACTATCCTTTAAGGGTTTCCTAACAGGTACATATTAAACTAAATATTTATGTAAATTAAAATTTTTATGTTGACAATATACTATTTCAGTGGAGACTCTTTTATATTCTATGAATGATAAATATTTTTCCTATGTATTAAGTCTGATAATATTTGTACTATTAATAAACTGCTGGGGGTCAGGTATACTAAAAGCATTTTCAGTGACTTTACATTCTAAACTCTTCAAAGTAATCCTCTGAGGGACATTACTATTATTTGTTGATTACTGATAAGGGACTCAAGGCTTGTAAAAATGAACTTGACAATAATCAACCAGTTGGCAAATTAGAGCATGGACCAAAAGCCAGGCATGTTGATACCGTTAGGCTACACTACCTCAATTATGAATGTATTTTTAATTCCCTGAGAAACAATCAAAAGGAAGAAAACGCATTAGAATTATCATTGAGGAGGAAAAAGGTTTGTGTACAAATTATATTATCATCAGAAAGACAGAAAAACAACAAACATGCTGCAAACTTGAATCTGAAAGAATAATAAGCAATGATTTGTGTTCAAGCACTGTTAGAACAGGAAGACATAATGGCATATTGTATAACGTGAAGAATGTTCATAGACAATGTCATGAAAACTTGAAAGCAAACATAATCAATATAAGGTAAGCTGCTTTTTTTTTAAATAGACAGTGGAGTTCTGGTGTTCTCATAGGTCATTTAAGACAAAACAACAAAAACTTACAGCCAAAACAACAAAGTTATCAAGAAGCATACAGTATGAACCTACAAAAGTAGCATTCCCATGGAAAATCAGCCATTAGGTTGCATGATTTATTGAAGTAAGAAGAAATACAAAGCACTGACATTTTCTCTCTGAAGTCCTAGTCCATGTCAGTGTTTTACCAGACAAAACAAAGGCCAGATCTGGGTTAAGGGAATCACCCATAATTACAAGCTAATTGTCAGCAGAAATGAGACTATAATCTGCGTGTCAGATTCCCAATTGTGACCTATTGTTAATCTCTGGGCAAGGTGTGCCTTAACTTTAGAACATGTAGGATGACGACTATTTCAAAGGTCAAACAGAAAAGCACGTACAATGATCAAAGGTAAGAAAAACTACATTAATTGGGAAGAAGAGTCATTCACTCCATTTTTTAAGGTTGTTCTTTGTGCTTTTTCTAAGATTTAAGGTCCTATAGTTTAGATCTGTTGTCAGCTAACTTTTTCTATGAAAGGTGGGATAGTAAATATCATTCATTTATAATTATTTTATTGTGTTCTGCTTGGGGGAGACAAACTTGGAGGAGCCCAGGGGCTATTTCTGACTCTAGAGTCAGAAGAGACCCCTGGCATACTTCAGCAGAACAAATGCAGTGCTGGGATGGAATTGGGGTCAGCTTACTTTCTGAACTATTTCTCTGGCCCTTAACATTTTTTTAAGTGCTATTTAATTGCTTTTAATTTACTATTTCTCCGGCCCTTTAACCTTTATCTTTTACAAAGGAGTTAAAAATAGTATTAAAATGTATGGTTTTGATATACAAAAGTACTACACCTTCACCACATTCACCGAAGTGTCCAAGACTCTCCACAACCATTTTTAAAATTTGGGGCATAGAAACTACATGGTCTGTGGCAACTACTCATTTTAAAAATAATATGTAAACAAATGGCATGGTTATATGTTATATAACTTGCAATTATAAATATGTTATAAATATAATATTATTACATAGCATAATATGTAAACAAATGATATGGTCATATTTGTTATATACACATATACATAAAATAAAACTATATATATAAAATAAAAACAGGTTCACAAGTCATCCTTGCTGACAAGATTTGAGTATGTTAGGGAAAAAGGTTAATATAATTTCACAATTTCTCTACCAAAACTAAATCAGAAAAGCAATTTATGACAGAATAATCTTTTAAATACTATGGTAATCCTTTAAATATATATTGAGGGGGCCAAAGAGATAGTATCCTTGTCTTGCACCCATCTGATACCAGTTTAAACCCTGGTACCACATACTATCCCCTAAGTACCACAAGAAGTGAACCCTGAGCACTACCGTGTGTGGCCTCCAAATTTAAATATAATAACAATAATAATAAATACATAAAGATAAGAACTGGTCATTACTACAAAAACTGAGTAAAAAAAAAATTACTCGTCTAACATGGCAGTGTATCCACAAGTAACAATTATTAAAATGCTTAGTCTTTAAAAGGACTCCACAGGAGGAATGATTCAAATCTCTACTTGTTAACCCCTGTGCATCGCCAAGTGTGGCCCAAAAAGCAAAAAAAAAAAAACCAAAAAAAAAAACAAACAAAAAAACCCCCTCTACTTGTGAAAGCAAATAAATGTGCTCTTTGCAGAAAAGCTTGCTTATTAGAGAAGCAGTTAAGATGGCAAACATTTTCTAATTTTTATGACATAGTGAGTGGAAAGATCCCTTTGGAATAAGAAAGACCTAGGTTCAAATACTTATGAGAATACTCACGAACAAAAGATGTAGGAAAAAGTTATTTCAACTGAACCTCAGGTTCCACAGATTGTAAGAGTGATTTTGTATGTGTGTTTGTATGTCCATCATATAAATATTTACAAGCCTGGGGCATAAGAATTACCTTCTCACAATAGGAGCACTTTGCAAGATAGAAATAAAAAAACATGAACAGTCTTCATGTGTTCCCCTCACAGAGACAATACATTCAAAATGCAAACATAGAGCTGGTGAGATAGATGGCATCAAGCATTGAGAATACAGTTGCCAATTTTCGTTGATCCTGTACTTGCTGGCCTGTTCTAGCAAACCACGAAGTTCTGGGATGTATCATTTTTGTCTAAGAAATTAGAATTTCATAAAATTATTTGTGGTTTAACTACTTAGAATTTAGAGGACTGAGTAATTCCTATGACCTGGTATCACATGACACCTAACATGGAAAAAATAATCTAATCATGAAAGTCTTACAAGTTGGAGTGATGTGGTTACTAATTCTCTATGTTACATAAACCGATGACCAGTGGAATATAAAACGCAATGATCTAGAGCTGGGAGGTAGCTCAGCAGAATACATGCCTCACATATGTGAGATCTTAAGTGTGAATCCTGGCACCACACTGGAAAACAAAACAAAACAAAACTTAAAAGGTGTTTCAGTTACAAAGGTATAAAACAACAGTCTGTATTTCAGTGAATTGTTCTGAGACGTCTGAAATAAAGTGGCTCTGGAGTGGTGGCCAAGTCAGCAAAGGTGGGCAGGAAAAAAGGATTCTAAACTCCAAGGTGGAAAAAATATAGAGTGAAGAATCATGGTGAAAATTTTAAGTATTCCAAAGAACAAAATAATCAGTGTTGGCATGGAAAAGGGACTCTTATTCATTGCTGGGGGGAATGTTGACTGGCCCAGCCCTTTTGGAAAACACTACTGAATTCTCAAAACACTAAATTCAAGTTTTCATATAACACAGCAATTCCATTCCTCATCATATACCCCAAGGACCCAAAAACTCTATTCAGAAAAGACATTTGCACGCCTACGTTCATTGCAACACTATTCACAACAGCCAAATCTGAAAACAACCCAAGTGTCTCAAGAACAGATGACTGGATAAAGAAATTACGGTACATATACACGATGGAATACTACTTGGCTTTAAGAAAAGATGAAATCATGCAATTTGCCACTATGTGGATAGATCTGGCGATTATTATGGAGAGTGAAGTTAGTCAGAAGGAAAGGGACAGACATGGAATGACCTCTCTTATAAGGGCGCTATAAAGAAACAAAATAGGGGTATACAAAGCAACAAAAACTGAGAATGTGTATTTAGTATAAAGCTTACCACAGGGGAGTGAAGGAGGGATGTAGGATGGGTAGGGGTAATTCTGGGACAATGGTGGAAGGAAGTGGACACTCTAGTGGAGGGTGTAGTGCTAGAAAATGTTCATGAAACCCTATTGTTTATATTATTGTAAACCATGGTGCCTAAAATAAATTGTAAAAAAAAAAATTAAGTGTTCAAAATCATCTTTATGCAAAATGGTAACTTCTCACCTTTACGTAAAATATTAGTCTTACATAAATAATATTAGGGAGAATTTTGAGATATGAGAATTTTCATACATTCTAGAGGGTAAAAAATTTGGTAACAGATTAAAAACAGGGACATTCAGACCTAAGCTTACAGTTAGATCTTACTATACAAACTCTTGCTCTTTTCTTTTTAACATCATTATCAATATGAAGCTGTGTTACTGAAACCTTGGAAGCCATCAGAACGTCCTTGTAAAATTTATTAAAAATGCAGGCTAGACCAATCGAGACCTAGTGATCCTGTATCTTTAGTTGTGGGGCCCCACATGTCTGCTGAGAAGCTCAATGGGACATCTTTTTATGTAGACTGATTAAAATGACAGGTTTTCAAATAGTATATTAACCATTATTAACCAAGGAAAACAAAAATGAGTTCTTGAGGATAAAGGTAAGTGTGTTGACTATACATTCATAATTTCTTCACATTAACAGGATTTTTATTTTGCTATCATCATGTATCATATCACTATGTCTATAAATTTTAACACACACAAACTTATAACAAACTAGACTCACTACTCACTATCCCCTTCTTAAAATATGATACAACTTCTTATACATACTTGATCTGCATGGAGCGTACTCAACAGTCTTTTCCCCATCCTGAAGAAAGCAGGTTCCAACAGGCTCTCTCTCCTGCTTCATTTCTGTTCTCCAGTGGTATAATGGAGCACAGGCCTGCAATTTAAAAAATACAGTACATGACATAAAAATTCTCTCAGTGTTTCCAGACGAGCTATACATGCATGTCCAAGCATTAGTGAAATACAATTAAATATAGCCTATACCTTGAATTATTACAATAATGAATAAAGATTTAAAAAATTTTTAACTCTGGGGACTTAGGACCAAAACCCTGCAGTGCTCAGGGGCTACTTCCGGCTGTGTACTGAGGGGGTTGTTCCTGGCAGTGGTCAGGGGAACATATGTGATGCTAGAAATCTAACCTAGGAATTGAGCTTGGTGTCAGTTTCTTGGTCTTACTCCATAGACTATCCAGTACTTTTCTTATATTCCTCTAGAGACCATATCTATAGTCTGCAATTTTCCTTTCAAAGAAGTTAGCAAAATTACTGTTTTTGGGTTCTCTCTCAGTCTCTCTTCCTCTCTCTCTTCACCCACTCCCCTTTAATGAAAGAGCTATTCTTGGAAAAAGCACTTTAACTAAACACATTTGTGCACAAGTATATCCCTAAAATTATAAAGCAAATACTTTATTAATACCAGAGTTAAAAATTTTTCAATGTTTATTTTCCAAATAAACTATAACTTTTTGTTTCAAAATTATGATCTTTGTATAAGTAGTGAAATAATGCACATTTTAATAATATATTAATATATAAAAAGCATAACAATTAATTTTTCTGGCAAAAATTCATGGATTTTCTATACCTTCTGAAACAAAACATTGCCACACAGACTGCAGGCATTAATTGGGTTATTTTAAATTTGCAATAAAAATACAGAAAGGAGGCAATCACTACTCTTTTTTTCTACATGTACATGATGTTTCAGAATAGATTGTTTATACTTTCTTTAAAAAAATCCTTTATTTATTTATTTTGATTTTTATGTTCAGGGCGTTCAGTATTTTCATTGGGAAGGTATGGCTGGAGTAGCTTTTTTTAACTGGGGTGGCAGCTCTGGGGTGTGGACGTAACTGCCAAGGCTTCTGGAAGTACAGTGAAGTGGGGGAAGGTAGCCCATCCTGACCTGGAGAAAGCCTGGAGATTTCAGTTAAAAACCCCATATACATGAATTTTTGGCAGATTATACCTCAGTGAGGTCCAACCTGAGATGGTGGAGTCTAGCCAGGGCTAATGTGGCAATTTTAGATTGTGGAAGCAAGCAGCTGCCGGACGGGCTCTGCTTGGGCAGGCATCAGGCTTACCCACCCTCCTCCAATTTACCTTATCTGTTCAGCCTTTCGTGGGTTCGAGATTAGCTACAGCTTTTGATCTCTTTTGCAATTTACTTATGGGTCTCTGAAACAAGGATGATAAATGAGCTTGTATAGTTGAGCCAGAGGTAGTTTGTGGGTGTGACTCCTACATATCTACCTTTTCACTGTTTAATTTCTTGGGAAACTTGGCCTCAGGTTGCTGGGAGTCCGACTAGATACACACTAGCAATTTGGGGGTATTCGAAGGGTGAAGGCACCATCAGGCTGCTGATGTAGTCACCCCACAGGTACAGGTTGACCTGCTGATGGCATCACACCCCTGATTATTTATACTTTCTGTTTAGACCTGCTACTTTGCACTAGTGTCTGCCTTCTATGTCCAAAACACCTTGGTTCACTTGGGGAATGGATTGTAGATGGACAAGAGCATAAGCAAAGAGATAAGAACAAACCATTGCCCTGGTAAGTACTGATGGTTACTTGACATGGGATAGAAACTGCAGATGATGACTTACTGATAGACTACATTCTATGTATTCAGAGACAAAACTGACAGGGCTCACTATGGATGAAATAAATGAGTTATGGTCCTAAATAAATTAGAAAGGTTTAAATGTAAGTATTTATTTTCTTCCTTTTATAAGAGTTGTCCAAATTAAAAAAAAATCAAATAGGTAGCTTAGAAGTAGGATAGGACTTCAATGATCCAAGGAAAATTCAGAGGAAGAGAAACCATACTTCACCCTGGCTTGTTTTTTTTTGGCAAAAAAAAATAAAGTTTCACATAGTGGTCTCACCCCATTATTTTCGGGGGTGGGGGAGGGGAAAGGGACATAGAGACTGCACTTACAGCAGGGATCAGGATAGCAGGGTGAAACATCTTGGGGAAAACAGGAGGCTCAGAGCAGAGCTCAGAGAGACTCTAACACTTAGAAACCAGCAGAAGAACAATTCAAGGGGATTGCAAGGGCCCAGGTAAGGGGTCCTGTGGCCCAGCACCTGCTGTATATGCATGAGATTGCAAGCACAGTGCCACAGCACCAAAGGCACATCTGTCCCTGCCACAGGGATCCCTGGTGCCACAAATGTGTGACTGCTGATGAGCACCAAGAGATGCTGATGAGCACCAAGAAACCAACACAACCACGACAAAGGGAAGAGAAGGGAGAAAAGTGAAAGAGAAATCACGATCATGACCATCCTGTTATTCATCGATTGCCTCGAGCAGGCCCCAGTAACGTCTCCTTCGTCCTAGCCCTGAGATTTTTAAAAAAGTGTCATATTCAAGGCTCTTTCAGGGTTAGGAGAATGAGACCCATTATTGTTACTGGTATTTGAAAGAAAAAGAATTGAAGTTTTTTGGGGGGATGCACACTTGGCAGTGCTTGGGGCTTACTCCTGGCTCTGTAGTAAGAGATAACTCCTGGTGGGCTTGGGAAACAGATTGGATGATAGGAAATAGACCGGGTTCAGACATGTGTAAGAGAGGCACCCTATCTGCTACATTACCTCTCCATCCATGAAATTTTTTTCAACTTACACACACACACACACACACACACACACACACACACACACACACACAAAGAAGAAAGAACAGGAAAGCATCTCTGATGCCAAGAGGACAAAGTATTTCAAAAAATGAGTTACACCTCACTTTGCTGAACTGTGTGAGAGATTAAGAAAAATACGAGAGGAAACAATGAATTTTAGTAAAGTGAGCGGCAAATATTTAACAGGAGTAATTAGAAAGGAAATATAAAGGAAAGAAATAGAAGATATCCTCATCAACTCATCAAAAATATTTGCTAAAAGTTGTTGAGAAATAATGGGATGAGGACATAGCTGAGGGGGAAATTGGTTAAAGTAGGAATGTACTTTTAAAACATGGAGGCTTTTGGTTCAATAGAGTGCACTGTCACTTAAACCTGGCTGGACAGAAGCAAAGTGATGAGCATGAAAGTGGGGAGTGGGGTGGAGAAATGAACAATGTGGGAGGAAAGCAGAAAGACCATGTGCATGAGAAATGGTACTCTTAGGTGCACTGGCCTCTGACGAGAACTACAATACTTCATTCTACCCAGTTCCTCTGGGCACACAATACTTTGCTAACGAATTTCAAATGTAAAATTTCCTGCGTCATATATAAATGAGCTAAATTCACCATGAGTAAATAATCACAGGACAAGACTGGGAATGTGGCCCAGTGGTCCAGTGGTAGAGCCTCTTACATGTGAGGCCCTGAGTACCATCTGAGGCACTGTAGCATTGCACTGTCCTCCCGTTGTTCATCAATTTGCTCAAGCGGGCACCAGTAACGTCTTCATTGTGAGACTTGTGTTACTGTTTTTGGCATATCAAATATGTCATGGGTAGCTTGCCAGACTTTGCCGTGCGGGCGGAATACTCTCGGTAGCTTGCTGGGCTCTGAGAGGGGCGGAGGAATTGAACCCAGGACGGCTGCATGCAAGGCAAACGCCCTACCCGCTATGCTATCGCTCCGGCCCATCTGAGGCAGTGAAAAGAAAAAAATAGAAGAATATAAGAAATATAAGAAAGGGGAAAAAAATACTTACTAAAATTTTATCCTGCTTTGATCTCACTGATGCGCCAAACCACTGGTGAGATTTAAACTCCACTGGGTCATCCTTAGCAAAATCTCTATTGCCTTAAAAAAAAAAAAAAGTGAGGGGTGAAAAAGAAAAAGACATATTTTTAGTATGACAGAATTTATTTCAGCTCCACTATTACACTGCACATTTTTTTCATATACTATATATGCATTAGTACATTTCAAGAAATCAGAAAAATAAAATGGAAAGTGACTTAAGTCTCAGACCTGTATTTCTCATCAATCATGATACTGCACACAAAAAACATAACAATAGAAACACAAATAAATCTTGGACCCCAGCAACTTTCTGCAGAGATGGCTCTGGATTCCGCAATAGGCCATTTTTGCTGGGCCACTTCAGTTGGGGGCAGGTGCTGTCCCTCTGCCTGACCTCTAGGAATCCTGGAGGCTGCCATCTTCTAGAACTCAGTGAAAAGCTCCAGGTACGGGTGGTGGCAGTGGCAGGAAATGCCAGGCCTCACAGGACAGGGGAGGAATCGGTCCATCTCTTCCACTCCGCCCGCCCCCCCCCCCCCCCCACCGCCAAGGAACTCTGAGATGACGCCCACACATGGCCACCATTTACTTAAGCTCCCACACGGCCACGATCCAGAGACATACAAACAAATCTTAGACCTGAGCAACTTGCTGCAGTGATCTCTCCAGACCCTAATTATTAAAATTTTAGAATTTCTAGACATTATATTGTATCCACAACAAGTAATACAAAACATATTGTCTAGCATTGCATTTTCGGCAGGTATGAGTGGTGGTGGGACTGGGCTCAAATATCGAAGGTAACCAAGTAAAGAAAGAGAGTATTGTGCAAATTGTCTGCCACACAGGCAGTGGTAGGTGTGGCATGGGAGGTGGGGCGGGATACTGGGGACTTCAGTGGTAGAATATGTGCACTGGTGAAGGGATGGGTGTTTGATGATTGTATGATCAAAGCTCAAACATGAAAGCTTCGTTACTGTACCACACAGTGAATCAATAAAAAAGGGGAAAATAACAATAGGTAAATATCTATAGTTATTAAATTAAAAGATAAATTAATTGTTAAACAAAAGAAAAATTGCCTACAGTAGTCCTGAAAGTCCTTTATGTGGCATAAAGATATGTTTGAAAACAGAAGATTACAAAACAACTTTGCTGTACATCAAAAGTAAATGTAAGAGACTAATACAATGTAACAGAAATTAAAGCCCAAGCTGCATGAGTTGGTTGGCAGATAAAAGTATTACAACAGATGTATAATATGCAAACATTTATTTTTCAGCCTACATTATTGAGAAATTAATCCCAACACACTCATATAAGACCCTGTAGAATTAAAGTAGAAAACTTGTTTTCATGGAAAAGTTCTTGATCTGTAAATTTCCAAAACAAAGTAGAATAACACAGTTCTGCAAGGAGAAACTTTAAAAAAAAACTAATTTGTTCCTCTTGAAACCCACAATTATTCTTTAAAAACATATTTCAGTAGCTATTTAGGACTAATTCAACAGACATTAATTTTAGAAATGGCATTTTACACAAAAAAATGTCATCAGAAGAGTTGGCTGATTATGTTCCCTAAATCTCACCCTTCACAGGGAATATTTATGGTTTAGTCAGTTTTATCCTGCAGATTTAAGATCAACTGGAGAGTTACAAATAATCTGGGAAAACTTCAAAATACTGGATATTTTCTAGTCAAGATAAAGGATGCATCATTGTTCACTATGCTTTTACTTTAGCTTTTTTATTGTTTTGAAAAATATTTGTTTAATGTATCAATCTCCAAGGCTTCTCTTCATCTGTAGTCTAAACACCACTGTTCTTTGTCAGTGGTTACAAAGATACCTTTTCATAAGAAAATGGAAGGAGAAAGAATAGAGTAGCTAGCATATGCCCTTCTCGATGAAACCAGTCAACTTGTTTCTAAAGTCTTTGTTCACCAAGATAACCCTACCAGACACAAAACATACCAGTGATGGCTCATCAACTGTTCATAGACTCTCATACGTTTCCAATTCTTCCACAGATAGGTAAGTGTTTGGTACAACCAGAAGTGGCAAAGGTTGTATCCAGTTAATCAGCTATAAAAGAAGGTGAAATCATGAAATCTGCCACCATGTGAATGGAAGTAGAGGGTATCCTGCTGAGTGATGTCAGTCAGAAGGAGAGGGACAAATAAGGAATGATCTCTGTTATCCGTTTCTTTATTTTAAAATAAAGAAACATTTTAAGGGAACAAAATTGTTCAAAGGCAATAAAACTAGAGAACTGGACTATAGAACTGAGCTTTTGGAGGGACACCATGGAGTAGGAGTAGAGAGAAGTAGCAGTAGTCATAGTAGTAATAATAATAGTAGGTGGAGTAGGGAGTGGCCAGAATGGGAACCAGAGACAATGGTTGAACAAAGTGGACATTCTGGTGGAGGGTGGAAAGCTGTGCATGGAACCCCATCATGAACTTGTCAATCACAGTGCCTCAAACAAAATAAGAGTGTCGGATTATGGGGAAGAAGCTCAGTGATAGCACACTTACTTTATATTATGAAGTACTGGGTTTGATCTCCAACATACACACAAAAGAAATTAGAGAGGGGAAAGAGAGAGGGAAAGAAAAGAGATAAAATAAGCTTACTAAGCAAAAAGCAATCAAACTTAAAAAATCACAACATAATGTTAATTTCACAAAATTACGAAAAATACTTTTTAGAAAAGTGTTGGTGAAGACATGGAATAAAGAGAACCTTTAAGAGTAAACCCAATATTCATTGCATTATTCGCAACAGCCAAAATCTAGAAGCAACCCAAGTGCCAAGAACAGATGACTGCATAGAGGAACTATATACACAATGGAATACCACTTGGCTGAAAGAAAAGATGAAGGTATGCAATTTACTTCTATGTGGATTGATCCACAGTGTATCACAGTGAGTGAATTTAGTCAAAGAAGGAGGGACAGACACAGAATGAACTGACTCATAGACTGCATATAAAGAAACATAGTAAGGGAATAATAACAAAGGCCCAGAGACAAGAACATGAAAAACAGTCTTCAGTAGGAAACTTGACACTGGAGGGCTGGGGGAGGGAAGGGGGAGTAGTAAAGGATAGAACAGGGAGGGGAAAATTATGACAATGGTAAAGGGAAGTGGTCACCCTGGAGAAGGTGGGGGTGATGAAAAGAGGTAAAATATTACCCATGGTACCCTACAGTACCAGTACTGAAAAAGACAGGGCCTAAGGGCCTAAAAGGAGTTAAAAATATATATGCCAAAGAAGGCTGGGAGGTAGGAGGAAAACTGGGATCACTGAAGGAGGGAAATGGATACTGGTGATGAGACTGGTATTAGAGCACTCTACGCTGGAAACTCAATCTTGAACAACTTTGATATTCACAGTGGTTCAAAAAAAAAAAACCCCACAAAGCTCTAAAATGCTTTTAGTGGGAATGCATACTAGTATGCTATAAAGGACAAACAGTAGGGATATTACTCAAGAAATTAAACAGAAGGATTGCATGACCTTTAGTCTTTCCTAGAAACTGCAACAGTTAAAAAAGAAAAGGTAATTTCATTCAGTATTTGTAGAGATTGTCTTCTCATAATGAAACAATGTTGAATACTTTGTTGGTATTGGTACCATTCATTCAAGACCTGCAGAACACACAATGGCATATTATTTTCCTTTTAAAAGGGGAGGAAGGAAGGCAGAGAGATAGTGTAGAGGTCACTGTGCTTGCCTTGTCTGGGGCCAACCTTGGTTCAATTCCTGGCACCATATAATGTTCTTGGAGCACCACCAGGAGTGATATCTGAGCACAGAGCCAAGAGTAAGCCCTGAGGACATACAAGTGTTGCTCCAATGATTGGAAGTTTGCCATAAGTGTGTGTGGGGCAAAGGGCAGTTAGGGTGGAGAAGGTATCAGTACAACAATAACAGAAATGATCACTTTGGACAAGGACTTAGTGTGGGAAGGTAAAAAGATAAACGTGGTAACCTTTTAGTATCTGTACTGCAAACTATAATGTACAAAAGGAGAGTGACAGAGAGAGAGAGAGAAAGAGAGAGACAGAGACAGAGACAGAGACAGAGACAGAGACAGAGAGACAGAGAGAAGCAAACAAACACCTGCCAAGGTGGGGAGGAAGGCAGGGCGGCATGAAAACTGGGGACATTAGTGGTGGAAATGAACACTAGTGAAGGGATGGATGGTGGAGTGGAGCATTATATAACTGAAATCCAATCATGAAAACCTTGTATATATGTATCTCACTGTGATATCAATAAAAAAAATTTTTTATGAGGGAAGAACAGGTCATGAGATTAGCAGAGGTGCTTTGATTGCACCCCAGCTCAATCCGTAGCACTAGATGGCCCCCAAGCATCAACCTGTATAACCTTGGAGGCCCAAAGTATGACCAGATGTGGGTCTGTAGGTCCCCTGCACCTCATAGTACAAGCAGAATCACTTTCTTTGGTTTGCTTTTTTTTTTTTTTTTTGCTTTTTGTGTCACACCTGGCAATGCACAGGGGTTACTCATGGCTTTGCACTCAAGAATTACTCCTGGCAGTGCTCGGGGGACCATCGAATCCTGATCGGCCACATGCAAGGTAAATGCCCTACCCGCTATGCTATCGCTCCAGCCCCATCACTTTCTTTGGTCCTTTTTTTTTTTTAATGTAGGAGTATTGCTATTTATTCAGCCATTGTGTGTATTTACAAAAAGCCAGTGGTGCTCTATCTCTCCCTGGGCTCTATCTCTCCACCTGCCTGTGTAGTCTTGAGCCATTTCCCCCACCCTGGGAAAGTCAATGGCGATGGGCAGACAAAGGAAGAAGACTGACCAAGCAGGTCAGTATCAATTGTAGTTTATTTCAATCTTCACTCCCCTTCTGCTTCTCTCTCTCAAGCCTGAGCCCCTCTCACTTCTGTCTCTGCCCTCTGGAGCCCAAGAGTGAGCCCGAGCCCCAGCTCGAGCCCCAGCCAGAGCCCCAGCCTGAGCCTGAGCCTGAGCCCGAGCCTCAGCCTCTGCCTCAGCCTCCACCTCCGCCTCAAC